ATACCTTGGGTTGACCCAAATCTTGTGAGTGAAATTGGGTAGACAAAACTGTTCAGAAGCCATCAATGGTTGTGTTAGCATGAAGTAACAAGTAATCATGACCAAAGGTTTGAGTGTACTGTCTTTTTTCAAACTGCTGATTATGCCAGATTATGCATAGTTGTAAAAACCACAGGTTGGCTCTGTCGTTATTGAATAAATGCAAATGTGCCTGAGCAGGTGTCTGCAACAATGATTGGCTAGCTGCCTAACAGACAGGTATGTTCAGAAACAAGTAGCCGTCCATTTATCTATCTCTCATATATATATATATATATATATATATATATATATATATATATAATATATAAAAAAATCAGTTTTAAATATTTATATGTATCTTGTTTGTATTTATTGGAAAGGGCATGAAATTAGGGGAGGACAGATGAGTGCACTCATCCATTTGATCGAGGTGGGGGTGTTCCAATGTTGACTAGGAATGACTTTTCCTTTCCCAATTTATAGGCAGAAGCACACAAAAATGCATGTTGGGATTTCTTCCTAGCCAATAAAACAGGCCAGTTCTCAATTTCATATGACTCAGTCCTGCTCTGTCTTGTCTTGTAGTCAGAACTAGAGTTGATCAGTTTGCAATCTATGTTTTGATATCGGTTTCCTTTTTCTTTTTTCTTTTTTTTCTTTGATACCACGGTTTTTGAATCGGTTTTTTGGTTTTTAATTTAGTATTTTTGCTTTCTAAAGGAAGTCATTCATTTTCTTGTGTAAGTTGATATCTGATTTCATTTGAAAGTGATAAATTTGCAACTTAGTTCGTTCAACTCACAATTTCTCATGTATATCTGGTCCAATTTTAAAAATGTATTCAAAATAAAATAATCTTTCTAAATCTGTAATTTTTATGTGCTTTTATTCATTGAATTATTTTTTTACAGCAAGTTAAAACTGCATTTTGCATTGAACAGCCGAAAATGCGAAAGATTTTTTTTTTAATTAAGTCTAAATTTTACATGTTACTTTGTTTCACAAAACCAAAGTGACCAGTCTTTATCTATATTCTTGAAACTGTACACTGAATTAGAAGACACCTTAAACTTCAACCAGGAAGGTGTTCATTTCTTCCCTGACCCATGGAATCCAATTCCTTCAAAAATTTTAAAGTAAGCAAAAAACAAAAAAAAAAAAAAAAGAAGAGCAACTGGTAGTAATAAATGTGTGGTAAAAGAACTTTCAAATTATTGAAACTACTATCTGACACTGACAGACTTGTTTTTGATTAAAGTTTTATTAAACTTTAGAATAAATTGTCAACTATAAATAACTATCAATTTATTAATAAATTGGTAAAATATGAAAGAAATCATTGCATAAACTATTTATATTTGTGTCTTTGGACAATACATTTGAGAGAGGAAGATAGTATAGCTCTCCAGAAATTAGTTTTTATGAAGTGGCTTTTAAAAAGCCAAAAAGTGAAACCCCTCATGTTTTAAAATAATTAAAAATATGGCAATTCTTTTCTGGTATGCCAGTCAATTGGGGTTTTGCAAATAAATTTCTTCTAAACAAGGAAAATCAATGAGTTATTTTTTTCCCCTAAATATCTAATTGTAGGTGTATTTGCTAGATAGAAACAATTTTATTTGTAGAAAAAAGCAAACAATTTTACTACACTAGAAACTCACATATCTGGAAATATCAGTCAGTCAGTTATCTGCCATGCATGATACACACTTAGGCAATCATGTATCTTTTGATACATGACTGACGAGGCAGATTTTTTTCCTGCAGTGGGTTGCCATTTCTTTCTGTGGTAGACCAGTTGCCATCCAAGAACCCAGTCTGTCCGGCTATTTACCCATAGCTGGGGGTAGAAGAAAAGGATTCATACCTTTCCCAAGGGTATTAGCATGTAAGTGAATGTAATGGATTTGACTGGAATTCAAACTCGGCTCTCCAATTCCTCAATCGGAGCTTCTATCTATTACTCCACCGTGCCTCCACTGGAAATATACACACTTTAAAAGTGAAATTAAAAACTATTTTAATTATTCTTAATATCTAATTTAGGTGTGTTCCCTAGATAAAAAAAAAAAAATAATTTATTTATAAAAAAAAAAAAAGTCTTCATTTTTCTTGTTTACAATATTATTTCATGATTGGCGTACTGGCTTACTAGAAAACAATTACCCTTTTACAAAAAAACTGACAACTATTTTTTTTTTATTTTTACTTGCTACCACAAATTTTTTTTTTTTTTTTTTTTTTTTTTGTGAAACAAATAGATTTCAGACATGTATTTTCCTTTTTTTCTGTTTGAAAACATTCTATGATTTCCAACTGTCATATCTGTCATATCTCGTTTTTTGTTTCTTCATTTCTTTTGTAAACAAATAGATTTCACATTTATTTCCTAAAACTAGTCAATTAAATGTTTTAAATATATTTTTGTTCAATCTTTTTCTCTTACAATGGTATAAATGTTGATAAAATTTAATTTTATTAACATCTGAAAGTTTTTTCAATAGTGTTTCTTTGGATATGGTCACTCAGTAGTGACAGCACTTAAACTCAACGATTTTGGTTTCATAAAAATTTCAATGTGGTTTCACTGTGTGAAGATGAAACCAAAAAAAGTCAGCTCTTCAGTTAAACCGCCCATCTCTAGTCAGAACATTATGTTTGTTGATCCAAATTTACTCTTCTGTGTCTACCCTAATCTTAGTTTGTGAACTTTTTCTCTTATTACTGTTAATTTACTTTGCATATATTGTCTGCATTTTTTTCCTTTTCTTTTTTTTTTCTTTACGTTTTATTTAAGTACAATTTTAAAATATTTTTGCTCTTAATTACTAATAGACTATATTTCTTTTTAAAACAATAAAAGAAATAGAATTACTTACATTATTTAAAATTATTATTTTTTTTCTTATCAAACATAAGTATCGAGCGCCCATGTATCACAAAAGAGTGATGAGGTCATGAGAGGCCCGCTAGCATTTTCGATGAACGTTAAATCTGACAAGGTGAAACATAGGCGACAGAATGAGGATATATAAGATATATAAAAGTAATAAAGAAATAGGTGGTCGGAACGGTAGAGATGCAGATGTTCCGGTGCAGGCATTGATGGTCGAGGTTGGTTGTTACAGGTGATCACTGCTGGTCATGCAGGTGATCGCTGCTGGTCGATGCAGATGATTGCTGTAGTTGAATTTGATGTCGGTCGTTGCAGATGATCGCTGCTGGTCATTGTAGTTTGAGGTTGATGTTGGTCGTTGCCGGGATGCCAACTTGACGTGTTGGGAAGGAAACAGGAACTGGCATTGCGATGATGTTCCGGCATGTCAAAGGTCCAGTGCAGGCGTTGCGTGTCTGCCGGTCGAGTCCGATATTAGTAACCTCCTGTAATAATTACTAACGTAGTGTACGGGAAAGGTTATGGACGACGTGCAGGCAGCCAGTAGGGACGGAATGCCGAGCGTTGAACAGGGCCAAGGAGCCAGGAGTAGTAGGCGAAGGAGAAAGAGAAGGAAAGTTTCCAACTATCATCAAGTTGGCAGACAAAAAAAAATGGGAGCGTAACTTAATACGCAGCCCGGGTTGACGTCCTGGCCCACGGAGGCCAGGAGCCTGCGTATCTGACCGTTTCAGTAGCCGACCCTAAATTTAGCGAGAAGTCACTGTCTTGTGGTAAGGGAGACTAGCAAGAGAATAGGTAAACTAATACAGTAAAGTCTCTATAAAAAAATAAGTCGAGATTAGCTAAAAGGAAACTAAGGCCTAAAAATGTCTAGAAGTATATTACGACTAGGTTCGTAATATAACTAAGCTGAAAAGGTAACTTGCTAGTCTCTACCTCGGGTCAACAGCATGTAGGGAGCACAACCAAGAGGTCATGGTCGAAATGACCTGTTCTCTTCCGGTTTTGAGGAGCCTAGGAGGAGGTAACTCCGACATATGTATATTACCAGCTCCCATTTTTTAATTTTATTTTTAAATATTATTTGAGGAAAATTTTTGACAATGGCATCAAAAAATAGCTATTTCATTTCTCTGATTCAGTAAATTTTTATTTTTTGTAAATATAATATATAGTTTCTCATGTATGCACAAAGGACATGGGTCATTTCATGACCTACATATTCTAGCTTTTCTTATTAATTTCCATTTTACTGTAGGTGTTTTATTTGATTCTTTTAAGTGCCAGAAATAATTTGAAAGCGATGTCTGATTTCTGTAGTGTTTCAATCAACACCAAAGTGACAGGGCCCAAAGAGTGTGAGTTCGATACCCGGTTATGGCAGTGGAGAACTTGGTGAGGGGAATTAACAGGAGATAACTGATAACTGACATCCATTAAACATGGCATGTGGAACTAGAACAGTCTACCTCACTGAACAAAATAAAGGGTTCAGTTTGACATTCCAACCACGTGAAGAAGGCTGGAGCATACAATGGCCGAAACGTTGTAATAAATATGGCGACAAAGATGAGGACAATAGTCCGAATAATGTAAATAGTGTATCATTTGAAGTATCTTTTGTTGATCTGGGCTCTTTTGAAAGTTTTCAAATATTGGCACTTGGGTTATTTCCCTTGCATTTTAAAACCTCATAATTAGCATTTGCTGGTCGTTTATTGCTGGGATTTATTTCAAGGGACAAGTTACTACCCTTGAAACTGGGTTTAACCCAGTTTAAACTCAAAAATGCATGAATTTTAAACTCTCCAGAAAAAATTTACCAGTGTATAGTGCAAGCAGTTACTGAAAATACAATATTTTGTATAGTGTGCCTCCCTATTTTTTTTTTTTTTTTTTTTTTTTTACTTATACAAAAAATATGATTTGGAATAAAGGTCTATAGAAAAATGAAAATACTTTTTGAGACACCTTAATATTTAATTTGAATGATAAAAAGAGTTGATTCTAAGTAATACATTTCTGTGTCTGAAATTGATTATCTTAAAATGTTAACTTTTTATTTTTCTTGTATATTTAGACAGGTGAAAAACACAGTAATTGGTAACAATAAACAAAAGACCAATGTTATTGTCCAAGGCATTATCCCCAGGTAAGTATGATAATGCACAGCTTATGTTGATATAGATTTAACTTGTTTGTACTTGTATTTATTAACACTTACAAACTTCTGTTGCCAGTGATATCACTAACAGGATTTATTAAACAGGTTATGTTGTGAGTTGATATAAATATGTATAATATGATTGGGATGTCGAATTTGAGGTTGGGGAATAGAGGCTGTATGATGGGGAGCCTTTTTTTTTTTCTTTTCTTAAATCATTTCATCCCAAGCAAGGCGATAATGCCACTAGATGTCAGGGGGTTACAGGGAATAAAAGAGAAGACTTTAGTGGGGGAGGATTGAGGAAAGGACAATAAAGGAACAGGATTCAAGAAGACAGAAGATGGTGATTGATGTTATATTTAAATTTTTGATGAGTGTAGTTACCAGAGGAGCAAGAAATTGTAGAAGACTTCCACAGGTGAGAAATATGAGAAAAGAAAACTGTTGAATGTGATGCATGGGAATATAAACCAATGAATGGTTTCTAGCTTGGATTTGGAATTTTGTTTTTGTGCATGAGGATTGTTCAATTTTAGTGTTATTGGGTTTCCTGAAGGATAACAGAAAAGGTGTGCCACACTTCTTTGGGAGGACCATTTTAAACCTTGTGCTCTTTCAGCTGTTAAGTTGAGTGATGAAATAAGGTTATTTAGTGGCAAGAATAATGTCAGAGGGTTAGAATTTCTGGGACTTATGAACTTAATGTCTTCAGCAACCATTTTTATCAGTGCTCATATTGCAATTTTTGCTGTTATCATTGCATGTTTTTTACCAGAGCTCATATTGCAATTTTTGTTGTTATTATTGCTTTCTCTGGTACTATTTATTACTGGTTCTCACATTGGAAAATTCGTAAACTTAAAGAATCAGCACATATGCTAGGCCACAAAAATCTCCTGAGCTGACCAAGCATAGAAATGAATACAATATGGGAACCTGTAATAAGGAGTGCCAGAGAAAAGCAATAGTAACTACAAAAATTGCGATATGAGCTCTGGTAAAAAAACATGCAATGATAACAGCAAAAATTTCCCTTTTGTCCCTTTCTCTCTGTTTAAGTTCCAAAATTTTCCTCTCCACTTATGGGGTAATTTCCAAATTTTGATCAGTGGCCCTGGCATACTTTTCCAAAATCTTAAAAAACTTTGTAACCATGCTGAGAGTCACAAGCAAAGTGGGAGCAAAAACATTGTTTAAGGAACTTACAGGAAAAACAGCACTGCTGATGACTAAGAAGGGATCTTTATCTTTCTTCTTGAGCTTCCCTGCTTGCTGATCATCAATAACATTTTCTGAATAATTTAACAGGTAGTCATTAACATAGCACAATGAAATATCACAAGACTCAGGAGTGTGCAGACTCTTGGTGGTTTCTGAGATGAACCAAACTAACCAGGTCATAAAGAGAGTTTCCTTGTGAGAACACATTGATGATTCAGAAGGAAAAATTTTAATGCCATAGGCTGCCAGGGTGGTTTTCAGACATCTCAATGTTGCTCAAGGAAAATTAAGATAAAGCCTAAGGTTTACTGCCTGAACAACTGTTAAAGGTGGCCCGATTTTAGATTTGAGGCATTAAGCTACTGAATTTTGAAACATCATTTTTGTGGTGTTGAATGTGGTGTCCAAAAAGCAAACCAATTTCATGCAAATAAGTTTCTTAGTCAGGGTCTTTTTCATCAATGCTGGAAATTAATGCTGAGACAATATGCAGCATCTTAGCCCAAAGATGCAAATTTTTAGACATGATTTTAGAATTTGTTTTGTGTGCAACAGGCAAAGAAATAAAAATCCTGTCCTTGTGGCTTTCATCTCAAAAAATAGAACTGAAATAACCATCCACTGGGCAAAACTGATTTTTTGGGATCAAGACTAAATTGGTCGTTTGGACCATCTTAGATTCAAATGTATCAACCATTGTTGCATTCAGGTCTTCAATGCCTTCCACACCACCATCTTTTTTTTTTGAGGCAGAAACGTTCTTGATTGAATCCTTTTTTGCCAGGGCTTTTATAATTTGGCTGCCTTGGTCTCAATGGAGTGGATGTGGAAATTGAAGAAAAATCAGTCATGCTTTCAACAGAGGCCAAAATAGAAGTGGAAGGCAATGAATTATCACCACTTTTGGGACCACTAACTGAAAAAACTTTGACATCTGTAAAAGATGGGAAAACTTTTAAAATATCAAACTTCTCACCACAGAAAACCATCTTAGCAGCAGTCTTAGTAAATTTTCTGAATGCAACAACAAATGATTTGAGCTCATTAAAATTTGCCTTGACTGTGTCAGGAACTCTATACAAATGATACAAAACAGCTACAAGAGATTCTTCATTTGAAAATTTTGACCATAATTACCATACAATTTCATTGGTAATTAATGCAGCATTGGCTAGAGAGGTTATGGAAAAATCATCAAAATAACCATGGGGCAAGTCCAAGGAAACAATAATATCCTCTATGGTCAGCATCATAGCAAAATATGTCATGCACTGTCTTATTTCAGCAAAATCCGTACTCAAAATGCAACAAAGTCCTTTGATAATTTTCAAATATATGGTTGCCAGGGGTTAAAAAAAAATATGGCTGGCTCATAGCAATAAAAAAAATTGTCTCCAAAATGAGATGTCATCAATGGTGGAGATAAACCCCACCACTTACAAGATAGGTGATGAGCAAAAAGTGTGAAAACAATTTGAATATTTTTAGGACTTGATGTGGCTTATATTTTTCATAACTATGAGAAAGTCCAAACTTTGGTGTCAGTTAAAGCTGTGAGAAAGTCCAGACTTTGGTGTCAGTTAAAGCTGCAAAAAAAAATTGAACTGATAGATCTACTTAATAACACCATTGACTAAACTGAGCACCATTTTTCACTAATTTTATAATATTTAACAACTTTAATGTAAAAATAATAAAATAATTTAAGAAATAACAAATAATTGTTTTAAAAATTCATTTTTCATCAAAAAAGTTTTTTTTGTTTTCAGACAATATTATCCATATTCATAAAAACAACTAAAAGCATTTGAAATTAAATAATATCTTTGTTTTACTGAGTTTTAAGCTGATTTTCAGATAGAGGTGGTCCAATTTAAAAAAAAAAAAAACAAAACATGATTTACTTTCCTCAAAGCCTTGTGCTTGTAACTAAATTGAGCAGTATTGAATTTCTAGAGTTTCCATAAAATTAGCTGTGGGGAGGGTAATAAATATAAAAACAAATATTTTTGCCATGACTTTAAAAAAAAGAAAACATGTTTATAATAATTTCCATCATTTGTGAATAGTTTCTGAACATCCAACAATTATTTTTATTTTTGCAAGATTTTCCAAATTAATGTCTGTCATAAAAAAAAAAAAACCTGCTAAAATTTTATATGTTATTTAGTAGTTCGGCTGATGCAAAGAGAAACAAGGTTTTTTTTAATCAAAAGTTAGAATGTTCTAAAAATAAGGAAAATTTTTTTTAAATAATTAAAAAATAGTCTGTTCTTTACTTGTAATAATAACATAAACATTTAGATGATAAAATTCTGTTTTCATCAAGTTTGGTGTCTTATCCATCAAGCTATGCTCATTTTTAGCGATCTCAACCATAAACACTTTAATCCTGGCCTTTTCAAATCAAGTGTCAACCATTATCTATTCTCATAATCTCTGCTTCTCATGACTCTTTTTTTTTTTTTTATTCATATCATACATGTAATTCATCATTACCATGCCAACTGTAACCTAGTTCTGGGTATGAGGATAAATTACAACTGGCAACAAGGCCTCTGATCAGAAGGTTTTGGGGCATGTAGAACTACCTCTTAATTGTTTTTAGGTCCACTCTGACCCATGGTGGTAGCACCTGTTAGGGTCCCAGCTATGGGGGAATAATGAACCTCCAAACAAAAGCAAAACACTATGAAAGTATAAAAATACTAGCAATACATATTTATATAAAAAAATTACCAATGATACCAATGAGTTCTATGACAATAAAATATCTGTAGAGATTCCCCTATTGCATCGTTAAATATTTGAGCTTAACAACTTTAACAAAATTCTGCAATAACAATCATAAATATGAATGTTGGGTGTGTTTTTTTTTTTTTTTAAGAAGTGGTTATGAATGAAAAGATTTGAAATTGACAACTTTTTCACTGAAATAGCTGTTAAACACTTCTATTTTCCCTTCTCTTTTTCATTTTCTCACTGAAACCAAGTAGTGTTTTTCCCTGTCTTTCCATATAATCAAAAGGGAATAGTCCATTATTTATAATGTATTGGCAGGGTGTAACAGTTGTGAGAACTTATGGAGGGAGGGACAAGAACAATTATAATAGGATATTACTGGTCAAGTATAGCTATTATATGTATGCTAAAAAATTTTCTTTATAAGTGGATTGTAGATGATTTCCCTAAAAATGCATTAAAAATTGGGTAAAAAAGAATTGTCAGTAGTTTGAAATTTTTAATAGAAACAGTGACAGTTATTTTATATCAGGCATTCTGTTGTAATATAAAAATGTTTTATTTCTTTTCCAGACTTTTGCAGTGGATGATGGATGACGGCATTCCTCTGGACTTGAAAGTCGAATGTTCAGTTGTCCTTGGCAGCCTCTCGAAAGGGACAGAAGCAAACATTGTCAGTCTGGTGGATGCTGGCTGTGTGCCCGTTTTATTAGCTGCAAAGAGTTGAGTTTTCATACTATTTTCTGAACTACTAAATTCTGAATATCATTCCTCTTTCTTCCTTTACAGCTTTTCTCAATGCCCTCAGAAATTGAGAGAATTATCATTTCAAAATTGAGCAAGAGAAATTATGTTGGAATGGTTACTTAAATAGGAATATTTTATTTTCTAATGAGTTACAAGATCATTTGATAAGGATGATGTGTCTCTTTCTCTCTTTGTGCCTGTCTCCCCCATCTCTCTTTGGGCCTGTTTTCCCTTTCTCCCTCTCTCCCTCTCACAATAAATTTACTATTTTAGGACATTATATTGGAAAATGACTTCAGTTTTTTATACTATTCTAATATTTTATAATATCTTTTATAACATTCTTAAAACTATTAAAAGAAGTCTAAGATTTTCTGGGACAAAAACACATGGTGCAATTATGAAAATAAGGCTTTTTCTGTAGTTGAGGTAATTGTATAGTTCATATCAATGTTAGTAGCCAGTGTTTGAGGAAAAAAAAATTGAATACTTGTTTTTAATTGAAGCAAGTTGGCTCTCGCCACTTGTAAGATTGGGAAAATTGATGCAATATAACTTTCTATTGCTATTTTCCCCTGATTTGGCATTGTGTCAGACTAAGCTATACTTCAAGCTAATTAAACTCTGGTTTTATTTTGTAAATACACTGACATGCCATAAGTTAGCAGTATGTAAGCATTGCTTTGAAAATAACAAAAATAGATGAAAAGAAAACTAGTGAAAATATTTGTATTAATTTTTTTTAAATGTAGATGTTTTAAATTTTTTAGGATTGTCAAATTATGATCTGAAGTATGTGGAAGCCTGTTTACGTTGTCTACGCACAGTATTTCTCAGTCCCTGTGCTCCAAAAGGATATATTTTTGAGGTAAGCATCTGATATGAATATATATATATTTTTTTTTTTTTTTTTTTTTTTTTTGCCCATCTCCTATAGGCGCATGGATAAGAAATATATGTACTTTCTATGCTTGATTATAAGAATAGTTCTGATGATTTCTTCACTGAAATCTGTAAGGTATCTGGTGTTCTGCAGTTAGATTGATTTAAGCAGTCTTTTCAACAAGTTGAAGGTTTGTGGCAAGTCTGCTTTTAGCAATTAATTTGGGACCATTTTACCAGCAGCATTTTCTCACTTTGTGCCTCTCTCTCTCTCACACACACACACATTTTGGTAGGAATAAAGCATTTTTGTAATTAAGTACATCCATTTTTGAAAAACCAAATGCACACTTAATAGGCTACAGTTTAGTTTGGAATTGACCAAAGTGCAGCATCTTCTTCCACTTTAACAAATCTTATGCACAGGCATTGCTTAATATTGTAAGATTTCTTTTTTGTTTTGTATGGCTACAAAAAAAAAAAAAAAAAAAAAAAGGTAATCATAACCAATGAAGGCTCAAAGGGTTAGGGTTAAAATATACCTAATGACAACCAAATATATATATGTCTACCAATGCTTGGGAAAGTCTACTGCCTGGTTTTGGTGCAATAAAATCTTTTTTTAAATGCTTAAAGCACATAACTGGATTGGTCTCTTTGAACAATGTGTCTGAACCAGCATAATCAGTTCTTTATTGAGTTGGTGATTTTACTATTAAAAATGAAAAGGGAAACCAATCTCCCTTTACTTGTGGCAAAAAGAATAAAAGATAGATGGAAAGATTTTTGGAACAAGGGTTGTGGAAGGATCCTGTAATCAATTATGCAACTAAGTCATGTTGACCAACTTTGTGCCAGAGGTTTTAAAGTTTGTTGGGTTTAAAGAGCTATGTGTGTTCAAAGCACAACTAAGTCTTACAATGCTATCCTGTGAGATATATACACATATGCACACATATACCTACATAGCGCAACTTGAAGTTTCATGGTTTCCCAAATTGTCAGGCACATATGGCAAATAAACCACTTATTACAGTTGTTTTTTTTTGTTTTTTTTTTTTAAATACTGTCTCATGGAAGGAACGCTAAATTATATGCAGATTCAAAGTTCAAAGTTAATATAAACCCTATATGTTATTGGGTGTAAATTCAAAATATAGAGTGTATGGAGGGAGCTACTGGCAAAAACAAAGCAAAAAAAAATGATGCAAGCTTATATATATATATATATATATATATATATATATATAAAAAATTTGTCATGAAAACACTCTGAGTGCACAGGATCGCCTTGTCAGTGATGTTATGACAAGTTTCTGGTCTTGCAACATCATACTTGTTCGCCCAAGAGACCCTACCAAAACTACTCTTCTGGCAGGCGATCCTGAAGCAAAAAATCCGCCAAGCATGCAAGAAATGGACACATTAAGTAACTGCCACTGTTGATCTTGAAATTACAAGCGACCAATCATTAACGACTTACGTCACTTCCTCCTCAGCCAAGACGATACAAAAAAGAATAGACGGCATGCTCGTCTTTTTTTTCATCTTAGGTCCACTACGCGGAAAGACCCACATTCTCAACGAACAGTTTGACATAACAGGTAAGTAATGGCTAGAAAAGTTTCCTTTCATATGAAGCGTTGCTTAACAAAAAAAAAAAAAAAAATCGAACACATTTGTTCATAATAGGAATTATGATCAGAAATGTTTCTTGCTTTCTTTTCCTACCACCACCACCATTTCTTCTTTCCATTTCTTTCCTTTTACACTGCACTCTCTCCCCTCCCGTATAGGAAAACAAAAAAAAAACAGTTAGGAACATCAAGATGGCGTTGTTGAAAAGGTGGACGGGAAAAAAAAAAGACCCTCCCCCCAAAAAAGCGACTTTGGTCATCACTCTACATTTCCCTTTTCCTTCCTTCTTTCCTCCTTCCTTCCCAACTGCCCCTTAACGCCCACCAAACTCTGTCGTAGAGTTCTGTGGAACAGATCTTTTAATCTCTAGCCATTTTTGAGGCTTTTTCTGCAGCTTCTGAGGCCTGATGGCCTTTCTCTTTTTTACTCCCCTGACTCCAAGCTGACTTAGAGCACTGCATACAGATTTTCTTGCAAAACCAAGGCATCCGACTTCAACCAGGTGACAGGTAGCTCGCAATTTGTTAGCTCTGCATCTCTCAACAAGCTCCTTGTATTTTTCCAGCTTTCTTTCAAAGGCTTCTTCCAAATTCTCCTCCCAAGGTACTGTAAGTTCTAGCATTATAACCTACCTGGAGACAGTCGACCAGATCAATAAATCTGGGTGTAAGGACGATGTCGTTATCTGCTCCGGGATAATCAACTGGTTCTCCAGGTCTACTCTTAGCTGCCAGTCTCGGGCAGAGGAGAGCATGCAGGTTGAAGATTTATGTACCGTGGAGGAGTTTCCACCGACCTTGATGAAACAGATCGCCTTTGTTTCAGGCTTACAACTGCAATCACTAATTGCTGTGGCCGCTACTTCGGCTAATTTCCTAAGTACCTGATCATGTCTCCACTGGTACCTTCCCTCACCAAGTGCCTTTGGGCAGGTGCTTAGGATGTGTTTCAGCATACCTTTCTTGTGACTCGCTCATCCCCCAATTATGCAGGTTTACAGGACTCGGTAATACATCGTACACGGATTGCACAAGAAATTTAATGTGACTGGCGTCGGAGTGCCAGATCTTTGACCAATTTATCTTCCACTGTAAAAAATTCTCCCATGTCAATGCACACAGCTGGCTTGTATATTATTTTTTTCTCAACATTGGCAAGAAGCCCAAGCCCACATGACCTGATGCCACTGTCCCCATGAGAGCCTTCTGCCTCAAATGCTCCTCCACAATACCCAGTTTGCCCTCTGCACTCCATTTCCTTTCATTGCGGACTTCTATGCCTGTTGCCGCCACTTTTGGGTCCTTAGAGTCTCTATACTGTAGGAATTCTCTTATTCAAGAGTGTTATGATGTTAATTTGGGGTTAATAAAGACAAACGCCAAATAACATGTAACAATAAAATGGGGTTTATTCGGTTGGTAAGTTGGTACAGATATCGCCTGAGTAGTCTATAACTAACTCAGCTCAAGAACTTCTCCGACTGTCTTTTGACATGTCACTAGTTAACGTCCTTGTTTGTAGACGAGTTCATCTTCAAGAGTGGTGGTAGGTTCCTACACAACACCTCCCCTGAGATTAATTCGGAGGAATTAATATATTTTCCTTTTTGGGATCTGGACTTAAATGTTCCACCTAGTTCTTTTTTCTTTTGCTTGTCCTTCTTTGAACAACTGTTTCAGGCAATGGTGGAGTCGGTATATCAAATAAATCATATAATACCTCCATTGGTTCTTCCTTTTCTTCACTTATTCCTTCGATGATTCTTTTCCTTAATTGGTTCAAATGTCTTTTGTGCGTCCATTTTTTGCTTGGAGATAGGCATCCGATAAATCCAATTTAGAGAATATTTTTCCTCTACTTAAACTTGCATAAATGTCTTTTGGTGAAAGGCAAAGGATATGTGTGGTTTTTACGCAATCATTTAGACCCGTAGAAAAATCGGCACACATCCGAATTTTTTATTTTTTTTTTTCTTAACATATACAACAGGGCAGGCCCACTCTGAAAATTCAATGCGTGAAATAACTCCCTAAATTTTCAAGCCGTTCCAATTCCTTGTCAGTCTGTTCCAAAACACCAAATGGCACATTTCTTTTTTAAACTTGAAAATAGGTTTTACATTTTCCTTCACTTCAAATTTTGCCTTCCTTTTTTGCAACATCCAAGACCTTCTGAAAATACTTGTGGAAATTTTATTTTCAGATCTTTCACAAAATTTTCTGTAACCCGATTTTTACACCGAGAAGAAACATTAATTCTATTGCAAAAAGAATTTATAGGGAGTTTCCATAAATTAAAAAGTATAATCCAATCTGTTCCAAACAAATTTGAAGCATTTTGTAGCACATACACTTTAGACTTTAGTGTCTTACCAACAAATGAAATATTACAAGAAAATTCACCCTGAAAATGCAATTTTCTTCCAGAAATCCATGAGCCACTTTTTTCAGTCTTTTTTAAGCAAAGGTCTGCCTATTTTAATCCATGTTGATGTATTAATAATGGAAATATCACTTCAGTATCTAGCTGTAGTTTAACATTTTTTCCATTAATTTTTACTTGTACGAATTTTCTTTTCTGCCCTCCTCAATCTCCTGACATGACAACACAATATTCACAATATCTTTTTTCGACTTAATTTTTTTTTTTTTGCTTTTACAATGAGTACTTATATGGCCTTTATTGCCACACGCATAGCAATTTTTGTCATGAAAAAACATTCACTTTTAAAATGACCACCACCGCATCCAAAGCACATTGGTTTTTAACGTTTTTATTAACTATTCCTTTTTGGTCGAATAGCATGGACACGGGATATGTCTTTTTCTTCAATTTAATATTGTCATGTTTTAAATTTTCAATTCTTTGACACTCTTCCGTAACCTTCTGCAAAGTAATCTCGGAATTTTGTTCGAGTTTGCCAATATTCGGGACCTTATGTCCTTATCTTTGCTAGAAGTCAAGCCTTGAACGAATATCAAACATTTAAATCGATCAATTGAAAGATCATGTAACATAAAACGTTCACACATTCTGTTAACATTTCCAGCATACGTAACAATATCCTCCTCACACGCTTTTACCATATTCAAACACGAGAAACGAGTATGAAACAAACTAACTCGCTCGCCAAAAAACTAGATAAAGTATTAACAGTTTCTTTGAAAGAAATGTCACTAGTTTTTTCTTGGAAGGCCAAAATTCGTATACTTATTATTTTCATCTGTACCCAACTTTTGTAAAAGTAAACTCACTTTTTGTTCATCAGTCCAACCTTCACATTTTTTTCAAATATTGTTTCAAATCTTCTGAAATACGCAGGAAATGTTATACCCTCCTCTGGGTTAAATTTGAACTCGGTAATAGAATTAGCAATACCTTCGCCGTGAATGACGAATTTACTGGATTCTTTAGTAACATTGCTTCAAATAAAGCCTTTGTGTCATTTCGCTGCTGAACTTGTAAATCCAATAGTTGTTCCCGAAACAATTTTTGTTGCTCTTGTTGCAATCTTTGTTGCTCTTGTTGCTGAATTTGGTTTTGCACTAGAGTTTTCGTTAATGCAATCAAATCTTCCATTATGCGTAATAGATTACACAAAACACTTTTCGAAAACAGTCAAAAAGGAGAAAAACACGTATATATCCAACAATAAGCACAAGTCTTACTTCTTTTTGGCACGTTGAAATCCTATTTCTTCTTGAAGAACAAAGTTCGACGTATTGTTTTTTTTTTTTCTTTCTTTCAGTGCGAGAAAAAAAAAAAAAATTATATAGTCCAACTAGAGTTGAAAAATTCTCCACTCAGTGTGATGAATGAATCTCTCGTCGCCACTGTTATGATGTTAATTTGGGGTTAATAAAGACAAACGCCAAATAACATGTAACAATAAAATGGGGTTTATTCGGTTGGTAAGTTGGTACAGATATCGCCTGAGTAGTCTATAACTAACTCAGCTCAAGAACTTCTCCGACTGTCTTTTGACATGCCACTAGTTAACGTTCTTGTTTGTAGACGAGTTCATCTTCAAGAGGGATGGTAGGTTCCTACACAACAAAGAGACTATGAATTCCTCCACCAACCCTTTAAAGGGGAGTTGAAGTGCATTTGATTTGCCATATAGTGCGGCACTACTCAGACTTCTCGCCAGCCTCAGCCATCTGCAAAGGTAGCCGCTAATTCTCCTTTCTATGGCTTCCACTAATGTCATTGGGAAATCGTAGATAAACAAAGGCCAGAGAATTCTTAGGAGCACCGTGTGCTGGTAAATCCACACCTTGAAAGGGCCCAGAAGTCCCGACTTGTCCACCTTTGTAAGCCATAATTCCAGTTCAGAGATAGTTATTCAGATGGATAAAATATCCGTTAAGGAGCTGTTAAAAGTTTTATCTAAGCTTTTCACGGGTCTCTCTGTCGACGTCGGGATAGTAGTTCCCAATATTGAGAACCTGAAATTATCTGCTACTTTGCCCTTCTTTATAACTAATGGTCTCAACTTTGCAGGCTTGAAACTCATTCTCGCCCAAGCAATAAGCTTTTCAAGTTTATGAAGGATCCACCTACTCCTCATGACCAAAGATGTTGTAATGGTCAGATTGTCCATGTACGCTCTGATCAGTGGCTGACACACTCCTGTCTTCATCATAGTGCCTTGACACTTGACTTTGGATGATTTGACCACCATATTTATAGCGAGGGTAAATAAGGGTAGCTGATATATTTTGAACAATAAAAAAGATTAAAAAATTATTAAAAAATTAAAATCTTCAGACACACTGGGTTGTATATTAATATTCCTTCGTTTTTATTATTATTTCATTTAGATTCCTTGAGTAGTTTCGTCCAACATGGCCATCATCAAGAGAAAAATAATTTTCTGCTTGCTGGTAACAGTGAACTACAGAAATGAATGTCTTGATGGAGAAAATGAACTTTTGTCTGTAGTTTTCATTTGTTTTTTTATTTTTTTATTACGTGAATTTTGGTCAGTCTTTGTGTTGGTCAAACAATCTCTTTTAAGTTGTTATTTGAGATAAGAGCTGGATGGATTCATGCTGCTCTGAATTCCCTTGGTCATTTTGACAGTTTTATTGGTTCCTGGAAAGGGGATGTGTCTCTGTTAAGTATGTGTTATTTGGTTCTTAGGGAGCGAGTGAGTATGATGTGTGTAAGTGTGTATATTCATGTGGGTATGTGTAGAAGTGTGAGACTCCAATTATATATATAATTCTCAAAATGTGTGCATGTGATCAGATGATTGTGTTTCCAGTTTTCGTCTGATTTCGATGAAATTTTTTTTGTTTGATAATTCTTCAGTGCCAGTTTTGAGTCCAAAGTGTTGGTGCCAATGGCTCTCCACTACTTCCTGTCCATTATAGCTCTCAGCAACATTTTACTATTTATTATCTGTTTTTGGATATATATTGTTCATAAAAATAAATAGTTTAAATTATTACAATAATATTATCTATAATGCTCAAAATGTGTGTGTGTATATATATGTGTGGTGTGTGTGATCGGATGTTTTAATGATCCCTGTAGCTTTACAGCATTCTCTTCTGGTATTTGCCCACGCATTCCATTTGACAATTCATAATTGCCTAAGACATGCCACCAAAGAAAAGAACTTGCCTAGGTCATAAAACTGCTGCCACCAGGTCCGCCATCTTTAGAACATTCAGTTCGCCTGTCCCAAAATGTCCCTTGGAATGCTTCAATCAGAGCCACTAAGTCCTAAGATTAATGTAGCCATTAGCTTTCCAGAAGAGCATACCTGAATGCTTCTGTGTGTGAGGCTGAAAATGATGATCAAAGGACTCAACAGCTGAGGAGAAATGCCTCTTCAACTGCTGCTGCCCATGCAGCTGATACAAGATTTAGAACGCAAAAACGGCCCATTTCAGGGCCATCTCCCTTTCAAATTGTTAACCCCCACCTCATTTGGGGATGTGCCTCAGTTGCACCCAGTTGTTGTTACTAATATTGATTTTCGGGTGGGCTGATTTTAAACTTAAACTGCTCAAATTGAACAGCAAAAATTCCCAGTAATGAAAGACCAGTCAAAGATGGTTTATACTGCAAGTATGTATGTATGTATGTATGTGTGTGTGTTTATATATATATATATATATATATATATATATATATATATATAATACACATACACACAAAGAAACCTCCGTTCATGAATTTAATTTGTTCCTGAAGGCCATTTGAAATCTGAAATGTTTGTAAACCAAAACTATTTTTCCAATATGAATTAATATAGAGAAAAAAGTTACAGTGCAATAAAATTGGAAAAGAAAAACATAGCACAACTCATGAATGTATACAACATAGCTGTTGACTCAGAAATTATTCTGTTCTGGTTAACTCGGTTTGGCAATGTTGTTTGAGAACCAAAATTTTGTTTGGTAACTGGGGCACATATTTAGGCAGCATATTTTCATTCGAATGGGTTTGGTTAAATAATTTAAACATATGTTGATTGGTTTTTGTGAAAATACCCAAATTTTTTTTAATAGTTTTTATTTTCCCCAAGTACTTTTAAAAACTCCTTGAAACCCCTTTATATTACAGAGTTAATGCCAAAATAAATAGTCAACTATGAGTATAGCAACAAAGTCCTTAAATGTTTATGAGGAAAAAAAAAATTTACTTTCCTTATACTGTAAAAATCCCAAACGAACACATGAACTATGAAATCTAGAATGCTGCATAAGCGATTTTAAAAAAAAAAACAAAACAAAACAAAAAAAAAACAGTTAAAATGTTTTAAATTTACAGAAACACATATACATACTCACAATTTTGACACCCTGAATATGGTCTCAGATGAGATTGAAAGTACTTGGGAAAATAAAAACTATTCAAAAGAAAATTTTGGTATTTTTTCTTATTCAGTTTTTAAGTCTACCAAAAATTAATCCAGGAACTTGAAAGAATGATAACGAAAAACGAATTGTTATGATATGTCTAAATTAATTAACCAAACCTATTTAAATGAAAATATGCTGCCTAAATATACACAATTTCTTATATATATATATATATATATATAAAGAAATGTGAAAAATGGAAAACTGTCTCATTGAATCTGGATTTGATTATGCATTTGGCCTTTGTAGGCTTCATCAAATCTAAGAAAAAAAATGTGTATTTGTTTGTATGCTTAAATAATAAATCATTAGTACTTTTTCTGCTGAGCTGGCATTTTTTGTGATGTAGGAAAATGAAAATGTGTGACTTTATACATACACAGAAACACACACACACTTTTGTTTTTAGAAAGGCAAAATGCGTAATCAAATGTTTTAATGAAACAACTTTCCATTTGTCATATTTCTTCAAAACTTTTTCAGAATTCGATATCCTATTTTATATGCACACACACACACACACATACATACATACATACATATATATATATATATGCATACATAATATGATATTTTTAAAAGAAATCTTGTTTGCTGTAATTACAGAAGCATTCTTGCTGGCAATATTCTAAATTATCTTTTTTGAGATAGATTTGATTGGATGATAAAAGTTAATATTTCTTCTCCAGCAGGACTCAGCGATCATCCCTCATCTAATAAGTGTTCTTCCCAAATCAGCTTGTACTCAGGAATGCATCACTACTATATTTGCCAACTGCTGTAAGGTAAGAATTAATTAAAATTGCTTTTCAACATTATCAAAAACAGAATATTATTGCTGTCTCTTCCGACTGATATGCAAAACAAAAAAGGCTGCATAAAAATAAAATAACTAAAACAAATGTTCGAGGAAACTCATTGCATACACTGTCAGATTTTAGTATGTAACTTGGTTTTCATAGTAAAATTGCTATTAACCAATCAATGTTATTAAAATGTTCTTAACATATTTATATTAGTAATATATTGTGCAAATTTCAGTTTATATCTGTCCTTAATAATAAGTTGTTTTGTGGATGTTAAGTTTTATTCTATAAAGTACAACATAGATTTTTATTCATAAATAAATCCTGAAAATATAAACTGGATTAAATAACACAATTATATTTGATTAACGCAATATCCTATATACCCGAATAAATTTCTATTATTTAACCTGTTGTTAATAGGAGCTCCTTGACATTCTATTACTTTCATCAGTCTTTTAATCACTGATTTTGCTCACTTTTCAGCTGTTTTGACATTGTTTGCAGCAGTTTTTATTGCTTCAAAATGATCCTTTTTGGTTGAATATTGTTTTGTTTTCCATTTTCATATCAGGACATCAAACTAACATTTTGTAATCATCTCGGAACTGTCCCAACCTCAAAATATTGTTATTTTAACTTTATCATTTATAGTTGTTAGTAACATAATAATAACCTCATTATAATATTTAGGAAATAAATATTTATTTTGATTCATTCATTTTTAAACTGTGATCTCCATGATCTGCTGCTACTACTCTGAAATTTGTTTTTAATCCAAGATTGTCACAAAAGTTAAAAAAAAAAAAACCCTAAAATTATTAAAATTTTATAAATGAATAAATACAAAAAAAAAATTAGTTAAATATCATTGAAAATTCTTTTTATAAAATACTTTATTTTTATTTAAATATTTCAGTTAAATGACCTTGAATAATTTTGCACAGAAATGTTCTTAATTTTCATGCTCAGAGTAACTTATATGACAATTTAAGAATTATTCTAAAAAGCATTCATTTTCTGTATAAAAAATATTAGTGCATTCCAACTATTCACAATAAAAAAAAAAAACAAAGAAATTTAGTTAAAAAATGTTATGTCCCACTATCTTCTCAAAATGATGTTCTGTTGTCACTAGGACAACTTTAATCTTGAGCACTGCTGATATACAACTTTTTTTAATGATATACCTTAGGTTTTTTTTCTTTTGTTTTATTAATATTTGGTGAAGGTCATTTCATTAATTTAGTATCTTTGAAACTCTAAAGAACCTATTGTCTTATTGTCTAAAAGATTAGTCCCAAAACTCCATCTGTTGTCTTTTAAGTCATGTTGTTTGACTATTTCCTTGAAGGACCAAACCTCTAGCCCAACCATCAGGTTCATCCATACTGTTGTGAAATGAGTTTTCATATACTTCTTTGTCCAACATATATAATTCTCTTTGTGATGCTTATTTAAAGGTGGTAGTTTCATTGCTTTCTTGTTTTTAGCCAACAGTATTAATATTCTACATAGTTTACCTCCTGGCTGCCAAGTGTAGATCTGTCACCTCAAAAAATGTCAGTGGCTGGTCCTGACAGATGAACACATGATCAAATCAGCTGTACCTAAGATGTGTACCTGTTGAAAAGCACTGCATGACAGATATATAAACATTCACCCCAGAGAGGATGGTCTCTTACAGCCATACAACAATGTAGGGTGCATATTCAGAGAAAGGTCCCTAAAGCTGCACACCTATTGGTTAAAGGTGATTTACTAAGTCTGAGAGATTCAGTTTTGTGTTTTCATTACTCTGTAAGACAAATTACAATGAGTGTCAATATCTCAAACATTTATAATACTTCCTACAACCTTCAAACATACAAAATCATTGTACTACTGTAACTTACCTTGGGATCTGTTAATGATTCTATTGGTGTGAATAAAAGTTATGTATTTAATAACACTCGAGAAGCAAAACGTTTTTTTCACAAAGAATGGTTTTGTGTAAAGTCCTTCAAAAATAAGGAAGATGGTGGTTAGTAAATAAAAATTGATTATTCTTTCAGAATTATTTTATGTCAACATTCTGTGTAACCATATATATATATATATATATATATATATATATATATATATATATATAATATTAGTGGTAAATATACATACATATGCAAAATATATATACATAGGTGCCTTTTTATTATTAGTGTTTAAGCCTTTTTATTATATATATATATATATATATATATATATATATATATGTGTGTGTTTTTATAATTATTTAAAAAAATACATATTCATCGTGACACATAAATTACTATGTTTCAAAACCTAAATCTTAAATTCTTGCTTTAATTCAAAAACATTTTCCTAGAACTAATACACTTAGCAAAATTTTTAATAAAAATACCCTAAAATTAAGTTATAGTTGTCCTGAAAGTATTGCAATCAAACATCTCTATCCAAATATTTTGGGCATTTAAAAGAAACAAATAGAAGACCCACTGTAAAATGGAAACTAATAAAAAAACGAGAACATGTAGATTTTTAAATGACTCATGTCCTTTGTGCCTACATGAAAAGTTATATATTATTAAGTTTCTCAAAAATAAAGATTTATTAAATCAAAACAATGAAATATCAGTTTTTTTAGAGATTGTATTGTTTTCTTTAAAAAAATAAAAAAATTGCATACTTATATATTATTTAATCAAAATTAAGAAAGAAAATATGTAATTAAATTCTAATATTTTAACTTTACAATACTGTATATAGTTTATTAATAAATATAATAAATATAGTATTTTAGATATTTATAAAAAAAATGACTTGATCATATTTGAAAGCCCCCTTGAGAAAATCTCAATATATTTTAGAAAATAAGAAAAGTTAAAAAAAAATAAATAAAATGCCAATTGTATTGTAATGTATCTTAAAAAAAAAAACAAAAAAAAAAAACAGTGATGACATGTTCTCATATGAGGAAGCCAGTATCAACAGACAGAAATTACAAACCCACACCTAACTCTTAACTGATATTTACTTTGCCACCTTAAATTATACTGGTATCCAGATTCATAAAATGAACTAACACCTTAAAAATTTTGTAATCTTATTCCCTTTCCAACTTGAACTATATTATACTATTCAGCTTATAAAAAAGGTAAAACATTTTTTCGAAAGTTATTCAATATCACTTGAAAATGAAATAAAAACTTTAAATTTTAAGTTAAATTTAAGATTTAGGTATTGGTTTTGAAACAGTAATTTCTGTGTCAGAATGAATATATATTTTTAAATAATAATTATAATATTATGCTCTACTGTGTATTGAGCATTGTTTTTAAAAATAAATGCTAAAGAACCCTGGATTATAAATTTGACTGTTTTTTCTTTTTATTTTGAGATATATATATATATATATATATACGCACATTATAGTTGGTCGATTTGGCAATTTATGTTTCAGTATCGGTTTCCGGTTTTGTTTTCCATGATACTGCGGTTTTCGGTTCAGTTTTTCGGTTTTTAATTTAGTATTTTTGCTTTCTAAGGAAGCCATTCGTTTTGTGTAATCATAGCATTTCCATTCAATATCTTATTTCATTTGAGATTGATAATACTTAATCTGTTTAACTTGCAATATCTTGTGTATTTCTGGTCCAATCTTAAAATTATTCATCTGGCAGGAAAGAAAATAATATAATCTTTCTAAATATGTAATTTGTATGTACTTTTATTCATTGAATTATTTTTTTACAGCAAGTTAAAACAGTATTGCTTCGACCAGCTGAAAATGCGAAATGATTTTTTTTTTTTTTTTTGAGACTAAATTTTATTTGTTACTTTGTTTTGCAAAATCAAAAACAATGGACTCCTATCAACAAAGATTTTTGATAGTGTTAGGATAGTCTCATGAAAAGTTATTTCTCCCGGTTTCTTCAGCAAAATATAGTTTATGTATTTTTAATGTTCAGTAGGGGATAATTTCCTCAGTAATAACAACTTTTTTTTCATCATTCCAATGTGAACAATCCCTTTTGAAGATTCCTTCATATCTTCTATAGTAAGATGGGAAAGTTATCCCTTCATCTGGATTGTTCATGAATTCACTGATTGAAGTTGTGACAGCATCAGGAGTGAACAAATCTGAAGTTTTTGTTTTCATTATTTTAGTGAACAACTGGAAAAACTTTTGTTGCTGTAATTGTAATTGCTGTTCATGTTTCTGTAACTGTTGTTCCTTTTGTTGCTGCAACATTTGAGTCATTATGGCTTTTTATTCTTCCATTTTTCTGATGAACTCTGCTGAATATTTTTTGCAGATTAATTTTTTCTGTGCATGTAAGTTGAATGAATCCTTGTGTAAGTTGAACAAATCCTTGTTACCATTTTTGAGATGTTAGATGCTCACTCATCCTAACTTCTGTTAGGTTAACTAATGCACATTATTATGTCCAAAATGCTTGTTGTAGATGAGACTTTGTAAATGCAGATACTGGTAGTAGTAACGCCTTCAATTAATACTTGCACTGATAATACTTGTTCAAATAGTAATTGCCAAATAGTAATCAATATAATGATCAGTATAGAGAAATAGTATAGAGAAGAGTGATCACTTAGACATCACGCTAATTCCCATTTATATGTTTCCTTTACAATCACATGATCTACTTAATTAATAATGAAATCGTCTGTGTTTGCTCACTGGTGATCTGTGTTCAAACTACAGTGTCAGCAACCACACTTTATTCCTATACAACAGACAGCAATCCCTCTTTTATACAAATTTCATTAAAGATTACTGGCAATGCACTGTGATTAAGCTTTTTATTCGTGTTCGTACAGATGTTTTCTTTTCTGGACACAAAGTGTGTAAAAAATGTCCAAAAGTTCTGCATATCTGAGCACTTTCAGCTATTCTTTTAACCATTATCAAAGATGATTTTTATATACTAGTAGAAAATACAAGTATAATAGCCTTATCCGCATGTAAAAAAAGAAAAATTAAAAATAATGGAAGTAGTAATAATAAAAAAATAAAAAGCCAATACTTAACATTAACTATGAACACGGCCACAATGTGCTAGCTGTGTTTGGAAAATAAAACATTCCTATAACTTCAGATACATACATAAAAAAAATAATATGAACATTCAGTTAAAAATAAAAATTGTCCTTGATGATGGTTAAAAGAATAGCCGAAAGCACTTGGATATGCAGAACTTTTGGATACTTTTCGTCCAGAAAAGAAAACTGTTGTAATCGCAGCGCCTTGTTAGATGTCTTTAACAAAGTGTGTGTGTGTGTGTGTGTGTGTGTGTGTGTGTGTGTGTGTGTGTGTGTGTATATACACACACTTGTGATGTTTTATTTTGAATACAGCCGTACTCTTTGACTACAGTAAATGGATATATGGTTTGGTCAACAGCATAGCCAGGGCCAGCAGTACATATGCTAATTTTATATCTTGTGTATGATGTGACTCCTGCCCCTTAAAATTAGCTTCAAAAGTTACATGATACACACGTGTGTGTGTATATATATATATATATAATGCATGTATTTCATACCTATGTTGTTTGAAATTACCTGTTTGCATACAATCACCGAAGTTAAGCAATATTCAGCCTGTCTAGTACCTGGGTGGGTGACTGCTTGGGGATACCAGATGCTGTAAGTTTGGATGTGTGGCTGGTGTAATTGATAATGGCCTGGAATTGTTAATCAGAGAGCCAAGTTCCAAATTTATGTTGTGTTCATTATATTCACTTACACTCAAATACCATTGGGAAAGGTATGAATCCTTTTCTTCTCCCCCTAGCAATGGGTTAGTTAGTAAGATTTGCATCATTAAATCATTATTATCTAAAAAAAAAAAAAAAAAAAAAAAATATATTCTTTGATAAGTTGTAGAAACAAATCATTCAATCATACTTGCATTGTAAATAAACTTTTTAGAGAGAGGGTATTTGATTGTAAAACTTAATGCTTTACATTTCCTTTAGTCTTCATGGAGTGCAAATAAGTTTGAGATAAGCCACTTTTTAATAAAATTGTGAACAATTTCTTTTTTCTTTCTGCATGATTAAAATGCTGAGGAATCATTTGAAGTTCTCATTAATTTGCAATGTTGTAGAATTTGTTAATTGCACAGTACAAGTAATTTGTAAAGCCGACTACTGTTTTATTACGCTGTTCTCAGACTGAACTGGGACTATATGCCAATCTGTAATCTATTTGCTTTCAGTAGTACAAAGGAGACTAACAGAAGGCTCACATTTTTTTTCAAATTATTCAAAGGAATTTCAGCCTGTGCAGCTCTCTCAGCAGTACTAACATTTGTAAATTTTAGAAGCATTGCTACTAACAAGATTCTTCTGTTGTAATATTTGTCTTATATTTTTTTCTTTTATTTGAAAGACACAAGAACATCAAAATATCTTGTGCAGCAATGGAGCCATTGACGCTTTGGCTCCTCTCCTCAAATCCAATATTTATAAGGTAAGATTTTTCTCTTTGAAATTAGAGAATCTAAAATGTTATATTTGTGATGTTGGTAAGCTTTACTTGGATTTATTAATACAAATATTGAGGGTTGGAAACATTTATTTATACCCTTTGACCGTTGCTTGTTTTTAATGTCTCCTTTTGGCTTTTGCCTTTTTTTTTTTTGTCTCTTTTGGCCTTTTTTTTTTTATATATCTTTTTGGCCATCCCTTTTTTAAATATCTCCTTTTCACCTAATTTACTCTTGAAGTGGAAACTTCTAATTCTTATTTCCAGTCTATCTCCTCTGCACTTTTAAAGTTTCCTTTCTCTTCTGCCTTTTTAACTCTGATTCTTGCAACTCTATACAAATTTAGGCTCTACTCTTTGCCTGTGCTGGTTGCATAATTGTAACTGTCATGGAAAGGGGAATCATTGAGATGAGGTCAAATTCTGTTCTACCCTGTTGTGATCCATTTTGCAGTAATGCTCTTGGGAAAAGACATGAATCCATCTCTTCTCTTTCTAGATAGCAGAATAAACTGGGTTCTCTAGCCTTGAGTGGCAACCAGACTAGGAGAAGGACTATTCAGAATTCCAAATCATGGAGAAGGCAACAGGAAACTACTTCATTGTCTTTTCCCGAGAAAGTGTGGTTGTTCACAGATAAGGAATCTGGAACGTTTAGATTGCTTATGTCCTGAAGGGACATGGCATTGAAAACAAAACAAAACTCTCTGCCTCCCCACTTTCAGTCCAGGCTTCATCTTTCTCAGCTTTGGCTCTGTTTGTCTCTATCTCTCATCTTCCTGCTAAGTCTTCATCTTCTTCCTCCTGTCTTAGGAGCTCTCTATTTCTCTCTGTACCTCCTCTCTCCCAGTTCAGGATCTCTACCCTTTTTTCTCTTCCTACATCTCCCCAAATCACCCTCTTTGCCCTTTTCTTATTTACATTTTCATCCCCCTAACTGTTAGCCTTTCCAACCCCAGACTTCATTTCTACTTGAATCAAACATATTAAATACTTTTATTCAAATAGTTTTTTTGATGGGAAGAAGCATTGACATTGTTCTGTGTATTTTGGCAAATAATCTACTCCAACAATATTTATATTATGAACTTAAATTTGCTAAAAAGGAATATAATAGGAGTTGGGTGATCTTTTAACCCTTTAGCATTCAACATGCTCAAACCTGACCCGCAAATATTGTTTCTCAAAATCTCATGGTTTGCATGACTTTCTGTTATATTTGCGATGATGGCGTCATGTATTATGGTAGAGTATACATGGGATGGGTTTAACATTGAGAGCCGATATTTATAGGGCGGGTTGAATGCTGAACAAAAAAGGTTTTATTTTTTTTTTTTTTTTTTTTTTTGGTTGAATTTCAAGATGGAATATTGTTAGAAACTAAGATAAATAGAGATGAAAACATCTTTTTAGATGAAGAAAAACAAAGTTTATATCAATTTTAGCATAATTTCTGTTGAGAAAGTTGGTTCAGAATTTTGCCTCTTTGTAGACTACTTGAAGAAAATTAAAAGAGAAAAAAAAATTAAACAAGCCAGTAGATCTATCAACACTTCAGTAAACATAATAGCAGAATATCTACTTTTGAAATGCACTGATCTACACTGTCAATAAAAGGGTGAAATGGAAGATTGTCTTATTTTTATAAGTCTATAAATTCATTGATGGAAAATAGAATAATTATTACAGTTATATATACAATTTATTGATCATTTTTTGTGTTTAAATAACAGTTTAAATCTGCTTGTGAACTTGTGATAAGACTAACTAAAAGCTTCCTTTTTAGATAAACTCATGACATTTTATTTGAATTTGAAAAAAAAAACTTTGTCCACAGATTCAGTATATTTAGGTGATTGTGACAAATCAGAAGTATACATTTTGTTCTATCCATGTCAAAAACCTGTAATTAATTGTGATTTAATTTTGGTATTTCATTTAGAAGAAAAGAAACCGCTAATAAATATATATTCTAGGAGTCTGCAGGGAAAAAAAAAAGATGGTACATTTTTCAAGACAAAACTTATGTAAGAAGATGAAAAATGTACCATCTTTTTTTTTTTCCCCTGCAGACTCCTAGTGGGGCACACAATTTAATAGCAAGTACAGCTACTGCAGTTTGAGTAGCAAGTGAACTTTTATGAGGTTGGGTTGCAGGCTGTATACTTAAAGTGAACTGCTTATCAGGACTAAATGGTTCCAACTACCCTGCTCATAACTTAGAGATATGGTTCCCTAAGAGCATTAATATGAAGTAAATGCAAACTGTCCTAGACAGAGTTTGAACTCCTTTTTTTCAATTTCATTCTCTGCACTGTTAGCCATTAATGCACCCACATTTCCAAACCCCCTCTTGGTTTTGTTGGAAAGAAAGAATCTTTATTGCTTTATAAATTAATAATAAGAATTTAACTGTCTGAATTTCTGGGAGTTATCATTATTTATATTAGCTACAGTCAGACTAATATCCTGATCTTTGTTGTTAGAATCCACTACATTTCAGCCATTGTACCCTTTGGTTTTCTTTAAGTGTGATGCCTGTTAATCCAGGTAATGTTCAGGGAATTTCCATCTGAGCCTCATAAATTTAATCTATGGGTTTAGATTGTTCTTGTTCCACTGGAATACAAGGTGCTGTAAGTTTGGATGTGCAGGTGGTGTAATGGGTAATGGCTTGGAATTGTTAATCAGATGGCGGGGTTCAAATTTCAGTTGGGTTCATTATATTTATTTATGTGCAAATACCCTTGTGGAAAGGTATGCATTCATTTTTCTCTCCACAGCTATGGGTTAATTAGTAAGACTCATATCACTAAAACTGTTATCTCAAAAAAATAAAAATAAATAAATAAATTCTTACAATCTAAAATAAATATCTTCCGGCTTTAAATAACCTGCAAACAGTGGATAAGCTGTAGAAAACAATAAATTGTTTCACTGACCAATGTATAGGGATATCTTGTCTTGTTCTTTTTAGTAATAGACATGGATAGCAGGTTGAGAACAATCTACCCCCATAGAATAAATAAATGTCTAACTACTATGTTTCCTTTCCTGGAGTCATGAGTTCAGTCTCTGGGCAAGACAATGTCTAATTTTAGCATAAGTATTGATAATTGGCCAGAAATTTTACGGAAGTTGTAGATATAACAGTATATTTGAAAGTGCCTTGATGTAGGGTTAGAGGTTAGTGAGCTACTCTGACTATCTATTTTTACTGAGTAGTGGGTTTGATCCTCACTGGATGCCCCATACTTGTAGTCTTGTACTAAAATTAAGCTTAGTAAATCATGAAAATATATTAATAAAAAGTCAGACAGCACAAGTTTCTATTATTGGCCAAGGTACTTCTGCAAGTTGAAATTTTGAAATCTTTAAAAAGTTATACTATGTTGTTTATAAGTATTTAATTCTTTATAATCCTCTCTGTTACTTGTTTCATGTACAAATTTAGTGACTTTTTTCTTTTTTCAGTATTCACTTTTTAAAAATAATTTTTTAAATATTTACCATGGAACTTGTTTTGCTCCTTGTATTGTCTGTTTTTTTGTTTTCATTTTACTCATTTTTATTACTCATTTTTTACTTATTTCATAGCAGGATTAAAAAAAAAGCTTTGTTGCATATTTTTCTGTGTTACCTGTGGACTCTCTGCCAAATTCACATTTAGAAATTGGTAATAAATATTTCTCTTTATATTTTTCTATCCTTGACCACTCCTAAGTTTCTGTTTTATTTTACAGGTACAGATGCCCACATTACGGTGTTTCTCTGTGATGTGTTATCAGAATGAGGAAGTTGCAAAAGCCATTGCCAATTATGGTAATGATTCTCTCTCTCTCTCTTTTTTTTTTTTTTTTCTTTTCAGTTTGTTATGGAAAAAAATTTACAAAATTTAGAATAGACTTATATCAGTGTGAGAAAATTGTTAGTGATAGTTCTCTCTCAACAAGCATCCAAACACAGGTTTGAAAAAAAGACAGATTTAAGGAAAACTTACATGTCACTCCTCATCACTTAAGCTTTCTTTGTTCTCTTAAATAAGTTATATATAATTAATTCCTTAATTAAAGATATCTGGCAATGGTTGGTACAAGTGTGTTTGAGTTCATGTCATACTCAAGAACATCTTCACTTTTTTTAATATAAGGTTACAATAGAACAATCTTATATGCATTAAAATGATTCTTCAGTAATTATTATTATTATTATTATTGTTTTTTTAAGATTGTTGTAACCTAGGGAAGGTTACTGAATAGAATAATCATACAAAGGTTGGTAATGAATGATAATACCTAGAACACAAACAACACATGTAAGATTTGCTAGCAGTGCGTAGAAGTAGTAGTCAACTGCTAGAAGTGAGTCAAATGAATTCCAAAATGAATCTCCAACTGCAGACCAACATACAGTATTTACTACTGTATTTATATGAATGGGGACATATCCATTATCGTCTGTAGATATGCTACAAAAAAGACGATAATAATACTAAACACTACACAACCAACATTGACATTCTTCATATGCATTTTCAGGTGGTAACAAGAAAGAGTCTATTCCAGAGATGTTGGTCCGTCTTCGTAATCGAGATAAGACATCTGAGATGCAGATGGCAGCAGCTAAGTGCCTAACCTATTTGTATAGGGGAGGTGCCCTCAATGCTAATGATCCTATCATCATGTTGAAGGTGAGCTTTGACTTTTTCCAATTGAGAATTGGTTTTTCAGATTTGCATCTGATTTCATTTAAAGAAATTGTTTCAAGAGTTGTTTGAACTTTTAATTTCTATTTCTTTGTTGTTACCACATTTCAGCCAATTCATTTGACAGCTTTTTTTGTGGAGCTACAATCTCATGAGAATTTTTTTTTGTCCTCTTGGTAGTGCTACTCAGAAAATTTTAGTCTACAGGAAGAGAGGCAAATATACAAATTAGAGGAACTCATTATGTCAAGATGGTGTGTAACAGAGACAAATCTATATTTTATATGCCAGCTTGGCCATCGCCAATCTTGCAATCAGTAATCCAGTACTAATTTCCACAAGAGTAACTTGGAATTTCCTGAGTTGTAGCACTGATCTGCTCATACAGTTTGGTGTTGCTATTTCTTGTACCAGTTGTTTTTTACCAATTTCATACACAGGTAAAGCATTTCTATTCAGCTTTTGGGCATTTTTATTATAACCTGCTGGTGTTTAGCCTCAATCATGGCTCTAATGAATACAGGAACTGCGTCTCAAGGTGTGAACTGCAAATGCCATATGTTGTCCATAATTGTCAAAGTAAAACTTCTGTAAAACCTGATTGTGATGTGTCTGTGTGAAGCTTATGGGATTTAGGCAGCATTGACTCATCTACAGCTTAAGGCATAAAGAAATAGAGAAAAATTAAACATGAAGCAAAGAGAAGAAATAACCATCAGTAATCCAGTAAAATATATGTTTAGTCCACACTATATCCCAATCATGACTAATTAGTGATGATCAAACCTGAACACCTATTTGCAAACTTCTCTCAATTTCCAATGATGCTCTTTATTCTAGATAGAGTAATCCCTTTGATATCATCTATTGTACCTGCATATATATACATATATATAAATAAAATATTTTCGACAGTAAATTCTCAAAATCTATTCTTGACTTATCTGGAGTATCCTTGCCTAGTTTTACACTTGAAACCTTTTGTGTGATTTGTGTATAACCCCTTCTATGGTTTCTACTATCATCCCTAATCTGGATCCTCACAAAGCATGTGGACCTGATGGTGTCTCTGTAATAGTCCTTAGAAGTGTGGTCCCATAATGCCTCCTGTTGTCTCTAAACTTTATAATAAATACCTCATTGCCTCTTGTTTTTCTGCATATTGGAAATCCTCATCTGTTGTTCCAGTTTTTAAGAACTCTACTGAACTGTCTGACCCTTTCAACTATCGGCCTATTAATTTTCTACTTCTCTTTTTGGAAAACTACTAGAGGCCCTAATCAATGCTGAATTGGTTAAGCATCTCATATTGCAGGGCCTTCTTTCAGACAAGCAATGTAGCTTTCGTTTCTCTAGGTCAGCTGCTGATGTACTGACGATAATTGCTGAAAGAATCTATCAAGAATGGTAAACTTCAGGCTTTTGCTTTGGACATCTTGCAAGCTTTCAATAGGGTTTGCATACAGGTATTTTTCACAAGTTGTTGTGTTGCCAGACAAATTTTTGAACAGATCCAGTTTTTCTTATCAAATTGTGAAATGAAAGTTGTTTTGAATGGTCACTCCTCTAGATTCTTTTATACTAATGTAGGTGTTCCTCAGAGCTCTATCATTGGTCCTACTTTGTTTTTAATTTTCATTAATGGCCTTCACAATGGCATCAGTTCTCAACTTGGTATCTATGCTGATGACACAACCATTTACTCCTGTTTAAATAGTAGGTCTGATCAGTCCGATAACGTCAAATTGGTGGCTGATGTCAAAAATATCCTTCAGTTTGTTAAATGTGGGTAAAGGATGGCTTGTTAATTTTAACGCCTCCAAAACTAAACTGCTTTCTTTTAAACACCAGAAAAAACCCTTTCTGCCTTCCATCAGCATGGCTGATGCTAACCTCCAGGAGGGTGATTCATTGCAACTACTTGGGCTAATGTTAATTAAGGGGAAAGACTATATTGAATCTATTGCTAGGTCAGCTGCTAAGAAAGTTGGTTCACTGTCATGCTAGACAATTTTTCTCTCCAGAATCTATCTTATATATTTATGAGTCTACCATTTACCCTGCTTAGAATATTGCTGCCACATATGGTCTGGTGCTCTTGCTATATATCCCGAGATCCTTGATAAAATCCAAAGAATCAGCAATATTATTGGTCCTGACCTGGCATCTTGGCTTCAGTCACTTTCCCACAACTGTAAAGTTGTCTCTCTGTTCCTTTTCTATAAATATTTCCATGGCAACTGTTTGGATGAACTCTTCACTATGGTACATAGACTTTATAAATTTAAGTGCAGTACTAGACTGGTGAAAATGTCTCCCTAATTTACAGTTGAGTTAGCTAGTTGCATCCATAAGTTCTATGATAAGTTTCTTTTCTTGCATTTCTCACTTGTAGAACTCTCTGTTGACTCCCTGATTTCCAGTTAACTTTAATCTTCAAAAATTTAAATGCTATCTACTGTCTTCCTGATTATTCTCTCTTTTTTTTTTTTTTTTTTTTTCATGCTCCTTAGTAATGTTTTTGTTTTCTAATTCTTCCATATCCAGTAACCCCTTGTGTCTCAGTGGTTTGCTGCTTTGCTTGGGATGAACTCTATTAAATATATATCACACACGCATATATGTATATACATTTATGGGTAAAAGTGCTCAATATCAGGGATAATGTATGTAAATAAATATAAATAAAATTTTTACTATGTCAGAAATTTAATTTCTGTATCTCTCTTTCTATCTCTTACTTTCCTTCCTCCTCTCCTTTTCTCCCTGTGTGCAGTGTAAGAACTGCTGCTGCTGTGTCACATGGCAAAATCGTGTCTAACGATTGGTCGTACATGATTTTCCCACTTGTTTTCAACTAGATTAGAGGAATCTAGTCAGTAGTAGCCAGAAAGAAAAAGTGTGTTCGCAGTGTGAAGACGAAGTTGTCTTGTCTTGCGACGAAAAGAAACCTGCTTGAAGATCACTTGTTGTTGCTCTGACAAGGAAAAGGGCGCCGCAGTGTGAAGACGATAAGTCGTCTTGTCTTGTGACGAAAAGAAAACTTGCTTGAAGATTCTGTTCAAGTAATCAAGTGGATTATTGTTAAGCAACCAAGGACAAGTCAGTAAAGACTTATCAAAAAATCGGTTAAAGTAATTATTGTAAAGAGAATTTTACAATAGAACATTCACAAGGAAGTCTTCTTTCGACAATCGGGTCGAAGAGAGAAACAAGTCAGTCAAGCGGCTGAAAAGCTACCTTCCTTTGAGGAGTTATTTTGTCTTATTGGAGGACGAAATCCTGATGTGAAAAAAGTATATGAAAAAAAAGATCTTTTAAGAAGTTGAATTTGTGTCGCAGAGAAAGTTTGAAAAAACAAGTCTGCATTTATTCTTAACAGGAAACTTGCTTATCTTCCAAGGAGAGCAACTCAAAATATCTAAAAAAAACCTTTCTGCCCAGCTACTAAAAAAAATACTAAAGCTTTTTTTTTTCTGAACTGTAAGTCTAATTTTTCCCCTCTTTCTGCTATCTCTCTACCTCTTTCACTCTCTCTGAACTGTTGTTGGAGTCCTTTTTAAGGGCTCGCCAAAGGGACGTTTTTGGCAGTTATTTTCAAGTTGTACCAGTGAACTTTAACATCAGACTATTTTTTTCCCCCCTCATTTTCTTTTTTTTCTTTTCCCTCAATAAATTTTATAGCTATTTCAAGTGGTTTTCCTTCTTCTTTATCTCGCTTGTTATAGTTGTATATTCATGGTTTCAGGTCTCTGTTAACTGTGTTACGCGGGATTCCCGTCATTGGACGTAATGACAAAGTTTCCCAACCTTTTTTGCGCCGAGTTTAGCTGTTACTAAGCTAAATTTCGACACTGTTACTTAAAAATCAAAAACAAAAAATGCAAGTAAACAAATTAACAATCTATGAATGCACACACAATCACAAGTAAATGTAATAATAATAGTAATTAATAATAAATAATTGAGTATAATGTTAATAACACCATAAATAGTTACAAATAAGTGTATTAGGATCCATAATTATTCTAGAATAATTTGAAACATGTGTTACCCACCCACCCAATAACTGCCATGATAATACAATAGACCTTACTACACATAATGCACCATTGACCAGCATATATATATATATATATATATATATATATATATATATATATATATATAGTCAAAAAAATGCAACACAACACATAGTCTGAAGATTGTGTTCAAGCATGAAATAGACTGTTGCCGCTTGGTATTAACCTCAGTGTCTATATATATATATATATATATATATATATATATATATATATTTGTGTGTGGCCTTTTAGGTTTCTTAAGAATGACTTTCAGAAGGCAGCTTGTTTCTCATTTCAAATTTTGTTTGGGCTATTAAATTCTTTTTTATGTACTGAATAAAACATTTTGACTTTGATTTTAAAAAGAATAAAAAGTGGTGGTGGTGGGCAACCAAAATAAGAGGAAAGAAAAACTAAAAAAAACAACTGAATAACAAGTTTGAGGCTTGCCTTATGGCTTTGATAGTTGCATATTTTTACCAGACACCACTATACTGAGCCCAGCCCGGCTGTTTGGCTTTCTACACTTGGTGGATTGAAGCTGCACAATTTTCTAACGCACCTATTTTATTTCTCTTTCATCCTATTTCTTATGCCTTTTACTTAATCATCGTAGAATGTAAAAGAACTTGAATGTTATGATAAAAAAGCAACAAAGATAACATGAAAGAAAAATTGGTTGAACTTTTTCTTTTTCTTTTTTTTTTTTTTTTTTTTTTTTTTTTTTAAATATTAAAAAGTTGACTGCTGCCTATGATTTACCAATTTCTCTTTGCAGACATTACCGACCCTTATTCGCATGTGCAAGAAGGATCGAACATTGGAAGAAAATGTGGAAGGTGCTGAAACTCTGGCCTACCTCATTGAGGTGAACTCTGAACTCCAGAAAGTTGCATCCATATCTGACCATCTCATCCGTACGTTATCGGAATACCTCAAGTATACAAATGTCCAACAGATCAGCAGCACACAGACAACACAGAAGAAGGCATGTATCTTATATCTTGAAAAATCGAAAAGAATTCTCAATCTTTTCATTATGAAAAATTGAAAGTCTATATTAGTGAATGTATTTCAATTCTTATCCTTTTTATCTTCACTTCCTACTACCTCCTTTTTCATTCATATTGCACGCCTCATTCATCATAGCCATTTTAATAGTAGCCCTCTACATTGAATGACTCTTGAGCCTTGTATTGAGTGAACTTTATAATAAAAAAAATATGGAAATCTTCAGTGCTGAACTGAATTATTTCATTAATGCAAAATTCAATTGTACTGCACGCTGAGGATATTATTTTTTAATGTTTATAGGCAATGTGTTTTGCTACTTGAGTCACATTATTAACCTTGTCAGAACGAGATTTTCATAAGGATTTCATGTATAATGCCAAACCTGTTGAGAAATATCTAAACTGTCAGCTGTATACAATTGCTTTCTCAAATCAATGGTTAGAAATGTCTTTAAGTGAATGAAACCTGTAGGTCTCAACAAGAACCATCCTTCTTCAAACCTTGTGGACTGGCAGTAAAGAAGCAACAAACAAATAACTATCAAATAACAGAAATGACATCACTTGTTTTTCAGCATACTCCTCAGTAAGACCTCTCATGAGCCATTGCAAATGTATTGCTGGACAAAAGGCCTTTCCATAAGAACTATGACCATGTTATTATCCTTCATGTTTTACCAGCATTCACTGCCGTATGATATTATATAACAGTTCACTACTCTTTTCTTTATATTTCATGCATTGTGACTAAAAAGGGAGTTATGAAAAAAAGATTTTCCTTTCCTTTCTTTTGTTTTATTTTATTTTCCTCTTTTTTTCTGATTGCTTCATTCAGTCAAAGAACTACTTCTAACAGATTCTTTGTAGTGTCAATTGATTTTTACCTTTTTGTTCTGTTTTGTAGAGAAATAATTACTCTTGACTAAATTTGCTCATTTTCCGAGATACATTCTATGTACAAACATAAAGAAGTGAATAGTGTAATAATTGACTGTATGTATGTATATAACCATCTAACTCTTTTAAGTTTCCTTTGTATGCTTTGCAGGATGTCAACTGGGGGAATGAGCTAAAGCAGGCAGCATTCAAAGCATTTGCCTCACTTGGAGCAAATGATGAAGATATTCGCAAAAAAGTAAGACTGTTTCCAATGCCTTAAGAAAAAAGTTTCCAATTTTAGTGGTTGATTTTTTTTCTTCTTACAAAAAAAATAACCCTGAAATTAAATTAGAAAAATACATATATTTTTTTTTTTATTAAACGCATGATTTTTTTTTTATTTTCATTTTCTGTTTTCTATGTGACTTTTCTATTTTACAATGTGGAAAAAAAAATAGTAAATTAAAAAGAAAAATACATTTTTTCTTGAGTTTTTATTATTTATAGACGAAGCATTGTCAACCATTATTAATTTTTGACTAGTATTTCATTCATCTTCATTTTACTTGCTTTTCATTGCATCTCCTCAGAGCCTCAATCTATGCCCATCAGTAAACAAGTAGTAATATTATCTTGAATTTTTATTAGATGAAGCTTTGTCAGCCATTATTAATTTTTGACTAGTATTTCTTTCATCTTCATTTTACTTGAAGCATTGTCAGCTATTATAAATTTTTCACCAGTATTATTTCATTTTTATTTCATCACAATTATACTGACCCTCATTGTACATTTATTTTCAATCTGTGCTGTTATCTAATTCAGGACTTCAAATTAGCATTTTCACCATTAACCTGGAATTGTCCCAAAAAACAACTTAATCATTTTGAAAAAATTTTAAATCACCCCAAAATCAAAATGTTGTTTTTATTAACTTTATCATTTATAGTTGTTAGTAGCATAATGAAAACACCATTAAAATCTTTAAGAAATAAATATTTTAAAATTTTTTATTTTCCTTTCAATTTTTAATCATGTTGTTAATGCAAGTAGTACAGATGGTAACAAAAAAATTACAAAAGCTAGAATATTAGTTTTAAAAATGAATAAATACAAAAACAAATTTGTTAAATTTTACTGTAATTTTTATGAGAGAAAATTATATTTAAGCTTTTATATACAAAACAATATTAGGAAAATTGATGACAAATTGGAAAAGATTTTTCACTTAATTTTAATAAAAATGTCAGTTTGTTTTATTTAAATATTTCATTTAAATCACTTTAAATAATTTTACATGGAAATATTATTTTTCTTGCTTTGAGTAACTTTTATCATATTAGGTCATTGCAAATGTTTGTGCCTGATTAGAAAATTAAAAAAAAAATATATTATATATTTGCAAAAAACATTAGTCAAGTATATAGTCTCCATTGTTTTTAACAAGAGTCTCCCTTCGTTCTATAAGTTGATGCCATTTTCATAGAAACTTTGTTTTTTGTTGAAAGAAGGATGTGAAGTATTTTTGATTGACTATAAAGTCAAATTTTTTATCATTTAAACTGTTCTGTAGAGACAAGAAAAAATGAAAATCTGAAGGAGCCAAGTCCAGAAAATACAATGTGTGCTGGAGAGTTTCCCATTTCAATTTTTTAAGTGATCTGAAACATGTGATCTTGTATTGTTGTAGTGGAAAATGACACCTTTTGGATTTGCCAAAATCAGCTGTTTTTCTTGAACCCAAATCTCTTCAAATGGTGAAAGGAAGTTGAGATATCGATTTAGCAATTTCTTCCTTTGAAATCTTTGGTTTATTCTTCACAATGGCAAGCAGAGAATCTTTATTGATGTTGGAAGTTTGAAGTGTGGTTGATAATTTAGGTTAAAATCAACCTTACCAAATCACTTTTTAAGTGTTCGAAGAGCTGGAACACGATCCAAATAAACTTTCTGAATGTTTTTTGTCACAATTCCGACACTTACTCTTTTCTGAAATTCATAGTGCTTAATATGGTGAGAGTGCAATTTTTCATCCTCCATCTTTAAGGCATTCATTTGTGGACAAAATGTCAATATTCAACAAAGTCTGGGTCACAACTGAATGATGCAAGGTTTCAGTCTAGAACACACCAGAAAGTGGCACCAAAACAAATTCCAATGTCAAGTGCAGTCATTTTATATTAAGGAAAATTGGGTATGAAATTTTGAAGTGATTTGATACTTTAATTTAAGAGTTGGGCTCTGTGTGAAGACTTAGTACATTCCAAATATTCAAATTCAAAAAAAACTTTTCAAGTCTATCAAGAAATTTTAATTTACAATTACCTGCCTCATGTCATGATTAAATTTTCTGTGTTTATTATTTTTAAATTCTCCCTTATATTTTCAATTCAGTTTATGATAAGATTATTTGTTAATGGTTCATTCAAGTTTTTTAACAAAAATTTATAGAAAAAAATATGATTTTTTTGCTTTGCAAAATTTTTGAATGAGTTCTTACAATTAGATTCTAATGTTTTTTTACATTTAGAGATAAATAATACAATACCTAAATTTAAGTCTTTCAACCTTTTTTTATTTGGGTTTCATTTAAAAGTTTAAAAAGAAATGCTTTATGTTTTGTTTGTTTTATTTTATTTCTTTTGTGTATGTGTGTGCCTGTCTTTAATTTATTAAAAGCTTGTTGCTGTTGGGGAAAAGTTAGAATTTTCCTTTTTATTTAATTAAACATTTTTTATATTGTCCTAGTAAAAAGACTAATGCAAATTAATGCTCTATTGTCTCTGGGATGACATTCAAGTGCTGATCTAGTGGCAGTGAAAAGCAACTGAAATTAAAATGAAATCAGAAACTGGTAATGGCTACTGTTTATATTTTTTAGATTTGTTATAATTGCTCTTTTATTAGACCATTCTCAAAGCCAAATCTCTGTAGTTGATATCTTTTTAAAAGTCTAAATCCACTTTGAGATGTAAATTTATATTGCAATTTTTTAGCCAAGTAAATGCTGCTATATGTAGGTTGACCAATTCTGAGAGAAATTGGATAAAAGTGGGCCTCAACACTGTACCTTTGTCAGTCCAAGTTCACAGAATAGTAAAGATATTACATTTGTGAATAATGCAATTGCACTTTTAGTTTTTGATTGAGAGAAATTTTCTCAGATTGTTTGTTTGAAAAAATATGGCAGATTATTTACATTTAAACTAATGACCTCATCTTTATTGTCACAACATTTCAACTGTTGTGTTCTCTGGCCTACTTCAGATGCCGACAGGACAATAGTCTAGTGGATTAAAGTTTTGTTTCATAAGTTCATTCCTGAGTAGTACTCAGTGGAAACAGATTGAGCAATAACTGAGCAGTACTAAAAAGAACCAGACAAGATATTCCAAAGTATGAACAGCAAGATAAGAATTATCGCGCCCTATAGATTAAATAAAGGGTCCAGTTAAAACTTTTCTGAAGTTACCTGAATTGACAAACACTTGAAGATGGCTGGATGGTACAATGGTCAAAACGTTGTGACAATAATGACAAAGATGAGGACATTAGTCATTAAATAATAATGGCTCCTCAGCCCAGACATTTTGACAAAAAATACTGTCAATGTTTATTTGTTCTGGCTTGTTATTTATATTTGATAACTTTTTGTGCAGATCATTGAGACTGAGAACCTGATTGAGCACATTATCAATGGCATGGATAGTGATGACGTCAAGGTGCAGGCGGCTGCAGTGCGCTGTCTGCATAGCTTGTCCCGCTCTGTGCAGCAGCTGCGAACCACATTCCAGGACCATGCTCTGTGGAAACCTCTCCTTAAGGTAAGACATTATTCAAATAAACTGGCTGGTTGTACCTAACAATGCAAGTGTGCATATGTGTAGTCCTTGGATATAACCAAAGTAACACAAAAAGTAACAATAAAATGAAAGATGAATTAATTAAAAATTAATATTTTTTTATTACTATAAACATTGTGTTTAGCTGATACACAGGTCTCACTAGACATCCTTTTTTTTCTGTTTTTTTTTTTTTTTTAAAACACTGAAATCAATGTCTACTGGCTCCAAGACCAAGAGTCTATGAAAGAAAATTTCTCTCAATGAGAATTGAACAAGTATTCCCCTTTTCTATCAAGGAAATCATATGATGGGAGAGACATGTTCTGCAGTAGGACTTTCAATCTTTAAGCTAGTAGACATTAATTTCAGTGTTGTTGTGCTTGATTTATTTTTTTTATTTTTATTTTTTTTAATAGATTAAAAAATTTTAAGTGACAATTCATAGTGCAAGGGAATTGTCCCTTGAGTCCGCAGATGATTCTTGCATGTGAGTTTGACTTCCGTTATTGCACCCTATTACTTATCTCTTTTTCTTTTATTGCTCGTCTTCTCAGGATTGTAATATATTAAACAAAATTCCCAACAATATAGAAATAAATGACTATTTATCTACATTCCTCTACAAACATTTTTGCATTTGGGGATTTTAATGCTCATCACATCAAGTGGCTTAAACATTCTAATATTACTTATGTTGCTAGTATTCAGACTTTCAATTTTACCGTTGCTCAGTCTTTCAGTCAAATAGTGTATTTCTCTCCTGCTTCCCCCAATACATCTGATTGACATTCTTCTTTACTTGATTTGTTCCTTACCTCCACTCCTAGCTCTTGTCAAGCATCACAACTCTAACTTCTTGGCATTTTGGATCATGCTGTAGTATCTGTTGATATTTCTTTTGAGTCATCTATTAGGAAAAAAAATACCTCCTATTCACATGACTTCTTTCTGTTACCAGTTAACTGATTGGGATTCATTTTGTGACTTTATTTGAGATACCCCTTGGATTGATATTCTTAACCTATCCATTGAGAGTTGTGCTACAGTGATTTCTTCTTTGGTTAAAGCCTGTATTGATGCTTCTGTGCCTTCTCATAAATACCAGGTAAAATCACAATCTTCTCTTTGGTTTGCACCAGTCTTTTCATCTACTATAACCCACATGAATTACTTTTTCCATGTATAGCAGTGTGATAATTCCAATCACAACAGATGCCTATTTGTCACTATTTGTAATAATTGTAAATGTGTCCCCAAAAGAGGCTAAATAGAATAATAGTATGAAGCACAGTATGGCCTCTAGCAAATTTGGTTCCCATGGCCACTGGTGGATCTGTAATAGTGTCTTAAATAAAAGTGTCTTCTATTCTTCCTCTCTTTACTCAATTTGAGGTGTTAACATCATCTACTGATAAAGCAGAATGTTTTGCTAGTAAATTGTGTTCAAATTCTACTCTTGAATAATCTGGAGTACCTTTGCCTGACTTTTCATTAAGAACTAGGTCTCTATTAAGTGATATGCATATAACCCTGTTCATGGTTTCTGCTATCCTCTCTAAACTGGATCCTCACAAAGCATGTAGACTTGATGGTATCCCTGAAATAGTTAATGTGCTCCTGAATTGGTCCCTGTTCTCTCTAAACTCTACAATAAATTCTTTGCTCCTTCTTGCTTTTGTGCTCATTGGAAATCCTCTTCTGCAGTTCCAGTCTTTAAGAACTTGGCGAACCATCTAATTCTTTTATTGGCTTATTAGCCTTCTACCTCTTCTTGGCAAAGTACAAGAGGCTCTAACCAACTCTGAGTTGGTTAAGCATCTCACTTCGCAGGGTCTTCTTTCAGATAAGCAATATGACTTTCACTTCTCTAGGTCAACTGCTGATGTATTAACAATTATTGCTGAAAGAATCTATCAAGCTTTATATAAAAATGGTGAAGAGTTGGATATCTCAAAGGCATTCGACAGTGTTTGGCATACTGGTCTTCATAAGTTGAAAGTTAATGGCATTTCAGGACAAATTTTTGAAATGAAAGTTGTCATGAATGTCCTCTCTTCTAGATCTTTCTGCAGTAATGAAGGGTCTGATGGCCACATCACTTTGAGACATCAGTTCCCATCTGATTACTGAAGTTAAGCAACGTCAAGCATGGTTACTTTCTAGATGGGTGACCACTTAGGAATACCAGTTGTTGTAAGCTTAGATTTGTGGGTGGTGTAATGGATAACGGCTTAGAATTCTAGATCAAAGGTAAGTTCCAATTCCAGTTGAGTTTGTTATATTCACTTTTGTGAAAATATCCTTGGGAATGGTATGAATCCACATCTTCTCTCCTTAGCTATGGATTAATTAGTAAGACTAGTATCACTAAATCATTATTATCTCCAAAAATAAAATAAAATTGTGTACAAGATATTTACATTTCAGCATTAAATAACCCATCGAGCTTGATATGCTGCTAAACAAAAACAATCAACACAAGAATAATATCTCATGTTCATGTACAGCCTACAGCAAGTGGAGTAAGCATTTTTAGACCCTTGGGAAAGACTCCACCACTTCTCCTTCCAGCTATGGGTTGATTGTGTTTTATAGTCTTGGTTGGCAACCATTCTGCTGCAGAAAGAACGGGCAACCTACTGTGGGAAAATCTTCAAACCCTCTTTTCCAATATGCCTTGAGCCAGCATGGAAGAATAGTCTCATAAAATTAACATTGAGAATAATATCTCGTGTTCATGCACAGCCTACAAGCAGAGTGAGCATTTTTTTTTTTTTTTTAATGTAAAAATTATGGGGGAACTTTAATTTAATTCATCAATTATCTTTTTTTCCTGTTATTGTATAACTCATGGATGTCAATAGCTATAACTACCAATTTTTCTATGGTTAGTAATAGAGTATATTTTAGCTTCTTGGATTTTAAAAATTCCCAAATTTTTAAAGCATTTAATAGATGTTGTTGGTTTACAATGCAAGCATTATACTAACTGAATCATTATTTTGTGTAATATCAGGTTAGCTTTAACATGTATAACTTTTTCTTGATAAGTTATATGTAGACTATACCACAGTTCATGGGTTCATCTTCAAAAATCTAGATGAGCAGAGCCTGGCAAATGATTTCTCCTCTGATTTAGCTCAATGGGAAAAAACTGGCTTGTAACATTTATTAACTCCAAAACGGATCTAGTAATGTTTCACAACCAAGCAGACCCTAAATTTTCTCCAGTAATGATGAATAGTTATAGCATTCTCTCACATTGGTACTCAAGTTCACTTTAGACCTCAAATGGAACTTGTTTGTACAATCAGTCGGTAAGGCAGCTGAAAAAATGGCCGGTTCTTTGTACTGTTCCAGAAAGTATCTGATTTCTCTTTACAATAGTCAGATTAGATGAAATAAAAAAAATGGTGTATTGTAGCTATATCTGGCATGGAGCTGCTCAATCTTCGCTTTCTAGGTTTGACAGCATTTAAGTGTTTATGCAGCCTTCTGGATGATTATTTTCCACTCTACAACCATTTTTCCCCCCACAAATGAAGTGTTGCTAGTGCCTTGCTACATTTTTGCTATTTTTATGACAAATATTTAAATGAGTTTAGTTCCACTATTCAGACCTTTACAACTAGCACCTGCAATGCCATGTAAGTAGGAAGTTCAACTCAGACAGCTTCTTTTGAGGAACTGTTACTTTGTGGAACAGACTCCAGAGAGGATGCTTCCCTAATCACTATCGTCTTAACATCTTAAAGTTTAGGGTCAACCATTAGCTATCCTAAATATCTTCATAATCTGCACTTCTTACTTCCTCCTCTTATACCAATACAATAAACTAATTTAGTAACCCTCTACTCTGAATGGCTCCTGGGCCTTGTATTGGTTGAAAAATAGCATAAATAATTATCCCCCTTGGATGCCAGGTGGAGTGTTTTTGTTAGGACATTATCAGTATGTCTATAGATGTTTATGAAGGCATGAGGTGAAAAACATACTCATATACAGTATGTGATTCATCTCAGATGAGGTCAAAATAGACTTTCCATTCAGTGTCCATCAGAGAAGCCAGGTGTGTTAGTGGGTTGACCTAGGAAATGTCCTCTTAGTTGCCAGGCACAGATCTGTGCCTTCACAAGATGTCAGTAGCTGCCCCCCAACATGTAAACATGTGCTCAATCCAGCTGTGCTGAGAATATGCACAAATGAGGCAAACTGAATGAAAGGTAGATATATAAGCACCTAACTGTGTGGGGCGCAGATAAGAAAAATCTTACATCCTTTCCCATCACCATAACCTAGCTTCCCTGTGCCTTATCTATAAATATTTTCATGATAATTGTTCTGATAAGCTTTCCTGTTTGGTACCTAGACTTTATGAATTTAAGTGCAGTACTACATAGGTTGCAAAATTTCATCATCTTACAGTTAAAATGGTTAGATGTAACCGTAAGTTCTATGCTAACAGTTTCTTTCCTCACACTTCTTGCTTTCAAGTCAACTTTGCATTAAAATTTTAAAAGATCAATGTCAATCGTTATCTTATGTGACGATGTGCTTCCATATGTCACTGCACAAGCTTTGATGGCATCCAAGATCAACTGTATGCGTATATACATCTGGCTCGCTATGTTCACAGGTTTGTCTCACTGGCCGTGATTGAATTCAACAAAGAATAATGATAAATGCTTTTCAAGACACTGATTGGTAAGTAGTGAACAATGCGATTTCTCACTTAATTGTTAGTGTCTTGAGAAGCTGAACACCTGCTATCTCACTAACTTCCAGCCACGGAAAACAGGCCCTTACATTCAATGCCTGACCATCTCTGTGACTACTGACTCATTGTCTGCTGATCCCTTCTTCAGTTACTGCTCTTTCCTGACTGACTGACTGGTTATATGGATACAGGCTAGGGTCCCACCACCCCTCTTCATCTACTTGTGTTCCAGAAAAAGAGACCACCCATTCAAGTTTTTGGTTGTCATTTTTTCAAAGGACTCTATTTTTATGTTTATCTAAAATCAATAATCAAATTTTACGTTGGCCAATTCAATGGGTGGCTGGAGACAGGATTCCTGAAAAAATTCTGGTCATTAAATTGACTCAAAGATTGACTGTAGACAAGATTCGTAAGAAAATTGACTTAAAAGAAAAAAGAATCTATCCCTCCCTCTCTCAACGATGTGTGAGAAATTGAATTGCTACAGTGCCTTCTTAATTCCTGTTTTTTTTATTTTTCTCTTTCCTTAATGATAATCTTTTCTTATGTTATCTCACACTCAGTAACCCCCTTGCATTGTAGTGGCTTTATTTCCTTGCTTAAGGTGAAATTATTTAAATAACAAACAAAAAACAAAACTTTACTATAATTTTTGACTGGCTGGATAAATGTGTTAGAATGTTCATTTGTTTATTGTTTTGCAGATGCTGCAGAATGGACCTGAAGAGGTATTGCGTGTAGCTTCCTCCACCCTGTGTAATCTGATGTTAGAGTTCTCTCCTAGCAAAGAGGTAAGTGTTTAGAAAAAGTTGCATCACAATAATTTTTTTTTTTTTTTTTTTTTTTAACCATTAGCAAAACATTTTCATTTGCACTTGCATGAGAAAAAAACACTTTGGCACAAATTAACAAGTTAAATTTTTTTTGAAAGGGAGGGACTGTGGATTTAAACTGACCTATTAAACTAATTGTTCTGATTAATCAAAATTTCTAGCTGGGTACTAATTCCCTTTATGTTTGGCAATTTTCTTAACACTGTCATTAATTACTTTTTGTACATTAAGCAAAGTTTATTTTTAATGGGTTTTTTTTTTTTTATTAATTTTCTTTTTTGTTACAAATATTTTTCCTCTTTATCTCTTAACTGTTTTAGATATTGGATATTTAGTTGAGAAGGAAGACTTTTATCCTGAGATTTTTTTCTTTTATGGTTCTGTTTTGATCATCATCAGGCATCTTTTGTCACCTGTCACTCAAAGTATTACATGGATAAATTGTGTGAAAAATTGCTGATTATTTTCTAACCATTTTTCTCGTTTTTTTCTAAATTGCTGCAGTGTGAAAGGAATTTAAGTGACCCTTGTTTATCTATATATCCATATATATGTTGGTTGTGATTCAATTTCAAGTAATGCCTCAAATATAGGCATCATGGATGTGGCTTTTTAGACCTGTTAGGGTCTTACATTACCTTGCACAGATGTGGCAACGTCAAGTACCTCTTGTAGTAGTTGTTGCAGTAATATTTTCATGAAATTTCATATTGCATTTTAGTCCGCCAGCTGAGGCACTTTTTTTTTTTCTTTTTTTTTTTTTTTTTTGCAGTTGCAAGAAGTAGAAATGCAGTATGTGAAGTGAATGATTTCTCTTTGTGTATAGTGTCTCTGATGATTTTTTAATTTAGTTGTTTAATGTCCTCGAGTGATGTATCTGTTATTTGGTACAGTTCTTTGATTCTGTAGTGCCAGTGCATGATGTGCAAGGAAGACCTACAGGCTTCATTCAATGGAATTGATTTTTAATCATTGATAAAATAAAGAAGGTATTAATGATTATTGTTTGATTCTTAATAGAAAAAAAACAACATGTAAATGTTTATATATTGAGAACAATTTTGGGGAAAACTATGACAAAATGGGAAAAGTTTTCATGTGATGCTTTTTAGTCTGATGAAGTTCAAATGGATGAAACATGTCACATAAAAATTTTAGCAAACTTGGACCTTCATGCCTGCAAAAACAAGGAGTGTCAAAATGACAGTTTTTTTCATTGACACTGATATTATTTTAACTACCTTCACTCCTCAGAAATGTTTGTTTTAAAATGTAATGATTACAATTCTAATGAAACTTAAATCATATGATAAAAGTGAATTTATACAGTTTTTTGTTCTTGAGAATTTACAACAAAAATATTAATCATTATTTATTCATTATATTGTTTATTTACAAGAATAATTTTATATTTACAACATTCTAAAAACTAATACAATTAAAATTAATGCAATACAATATTTATCATTTACCAATTTATAAAAAAATAAATATGAAAACAATTATTTATTTATAAATTAATAAACATTTACTAAATTATTAAAATATGTAAACCAGCTATAAGGAAATCCTTATTATTTACCATTTTCTAAAGTTTGAATCAATTGGCAATTAGCTAATGTTTTGTCAACCATTCCAATAATCAATATAATAGTCTAAATAAACAATCTAATAAATAAATAGTTTATGATTTTTGTTGTCAATTCTCAGGAACAAAGAAAATGTATAAATTCACTTCCATCATATGTTCAAGTTTTATTAAAATTCTAATCATCGCTTTTTAAAACAAACTTTACTAAGGAGTGAAGGTAGTTAAAATAATAGTGGTTTAAATGGAAAAACCATTCTTTTGACATTCTGTTTTATTTGCAGACACAAAGATCCAAGTTTACCTTTTCCACTTTGTCATATTAGTCACATCCTAATAATGATTCTTAATGTAATATTTCTCCTATAAGAATTTTGCATTTTGTTTAGAATTTGTACTAGTAATTCCAGCACTTTCAGCTGGTCATCTTCTTAAAAGATGTCATGAAAATATTATTCCCTGTCTGACAGATTAAACTTTTTTTTTTTTTTTTTTAGTTATTCCCCACCAAATTAAAATTCTTTAGAATATTGACCTACTAGATCTGGAACTTTATATCGGTGATGTAGAGACATGATCAGTGGTCATTATTGTTCCCATATTTTTTTTTCTCCAGTTGGGACTTCAGATTATTTTGGGCTTTAATATCAAAAATAGAACCAAATTATAGGGAAGGATACATGAGCCATTATCCCAGTTCCTCTTTGCCCATGAAGTTATGGACAATAATATTCTGTTACATCTTATTGTCCTTATATCTGTTAACAGTTGACGGAATGGCATTCATCTTTACTTTCTAATTGTAAAAACAAAAAGAAATGATGCTTAGTGTTTTATGGCCTATCGATGTGCTAGAACATATTATACAGTTTCTTTTTGTCTATTTTTTTTTTTCATCCGCCCTTTTATCTGTAAATTGAGAAAAGAAAACTGAGTGTGGATGACATTTTACAACCTGTCATCATAACATTGTCTCAATTTGGATTTTGTAGCCTATTCTGGAAACGGGCGGTCTCAACATCCTGGTCAACTTGACTAACAGTGATGACTCTTTGCTCCGACTGAATGGCGTCTGGGGACTGATGGTGAGTTTCTTCCTCTTTCCTCAACGGGGAGGTGGCACTTCCTGGCTGTATGTAGAGAGTATTTCCTTGAACCACTTACCCTCTGCTATGTATATTTAAGCCAAAAAGAAAAGAAAAAAAATTCTCTGCAGTTTTTGCCCCTCCCCCACTTCTTTAGTTTTTAGTCCTTCTGACACTACTATTGTGTCTCTTTTTGTTTTTTTTGTTTTTTTTCCCACCTTCAGAATATGACGTTCCAAGTTGGTGAAAAGATGAAACACCAAATCCTGGAATCTCTGCAGACCGAACAGTTATTCCGGCTACTGTCCGACCCTGACCCCAACGTCCTGATCAAGACACTAGGATTGCTGAGGAATTTACTCTCGTCCAAACCAGTAAGTTTTGCAATCAAGACATCCCTCCCCAGGGTTCCCACCTAATAAGGCTCCATTCCCATTGTTTTTTCTTTTTTTTCTTAGGTATTTTGTATCTTTGTGTGTATGTGTGTAAATAATGTTAATGCCACGTGGAATCATTTTTTTCTTCATTTTTATTCCGATTCTCAAAATGTTATTGGTTCTTATTATTTCCCCATTTTCTTATCTTTTCTTCATTCAAAATTCCCCAGCTATGGGTTAAATAGTTGGAATTGTATCTAGAAGAAATCATTATCTGTAAAAATTTGTTAATGCAATATTCTCTTGCAAAAAAAAAATGGGGGAATTATTACAATCTAAAATATGTTTCAGCTTTAAATAATCCAGCAAGGGTTGATAAGTTCTACTAAAACAAATCAATCAATCGATCTCATTCAAAACAAATTGTCACCTCTTAAAAGACTAAAATTTGGGATGGGTAGCTACATAGCCTAGGGATAAGGACAAAACACTCATCTCTATCCGCCCTAATTAATAAATTTTTTTATTTTTTTTTATTATGATGTCAGGTTGGCCAGATGAAAACCGTTTTTCTCCAGTTCTTGCAATTACTAATGTGCAAAATAAATTCATTTTATAAACTTAGTAATTTCTATGTATATGTAGGAATAATATATATATATATATATACACACACACACACTCTCTCTCTCTCATACATGTAATGGTTTATATATATATATATATATATATATATAGCCACTGGTGAGGGGAATTAATGTATATTTATTAATATATAGTTTATAGCTCTGTTATATTACATTAAGCACTATTTTATTAACTGCAACACTCAATGTGTGAGATATATATATATATATATATATATATATATATATATATATATATATATATATCTATATAGGATTAATACAAATATAAAATTTGTCACTTAGCTGATGTTATATTTAGCATCTCTACTCCAGAGTGGTATCAGAGTGGATTGAACAATTACACAAAGGTTTGGCAGTTCTACAAAACCTTGGAGTAGAGGTGCTGAATCTAACATCAATCAGCTAAGTAACAAATTTTACGTTTGTATTAATCCTATTAATGTTCTATCTCTGATATCAACCACTTTATTGCAAAGAGACCTTGCCTTAAATGTCCTTTCTAAGAATAGTTTTTCCTCTTGTCTCTTTTTATTCATATATATGTATGCATTTTGGCATGTGTCTTCTCTTCCCTTTTATGCACCATCTCATACACAGGGTGGTAACCTATCAAAAAGGAAAATACTCTTGCTTTCCTTGTAGTTTGTACATATAAACAATTATTAGCTGAAATGTGGTAATTACAAAAAGAATGAATTTAAAAAAAACTTTTGAATCAATTTCAGCCTCTTCAAATATGCCACCAACAACTTTTCTTGTGTAGAACACAATATTCTGTCTATTCAACTTCATATATTGGGCTGAAAATGCAGGGTCACTGATAATTGAATAATTAAATATCTGTATATCTACATTTATGGTGTATATGTGTGAAGCATAACCATTTACTGGTGCAGAAAATAGGATTGGTTGTTAAGTTCAAATTCCAGCAGAGGCCATTGTGTTTGCATTAGCACAATAAATCCGTCTCTTCTCCTTCCAGCTAGGGGTTAATAGCAGAGCAAACTGGACACTTTAGCTTTGGCTGGCATCCAATCTAGGAGAAGAACTATCAATTGGGTGCAGGCCTAGCAACTCCATCCCTTGCTATGGAAGCCACAGCAGCGACACCTGGTGAGGCTGTGGTTCTGTTCTCCAATGGGGAATCTACAAGAGTGACATCATCATTTGTCATTTATGCATGTACGAACCCCAGGACATCTGGATATGAAGAAATAAGATATCTACCAGCTCCCCCATGAAACTGTGAGTTGAGTGTGTTTGCTATGCAAATGATTCATTTTGGTAGCCAACCACTAATGTCTTGGGCTCAATAAAAGCAGGCCCCTTTTTCTGAGAAGGAAGAGTGGTCACTGATTGCCATGTGAAACCAAGGATTTTTGTCAAAGGTGTGAGATGTCTATTCATTGCAGATACCCAACAAATAAGAAGAAAAACCATCACATTTTTATTCCAAGTGAAACTTATTGGACCAAGCCAACCTTGATGCAGCGCTCCATTCCTTGATCACTTTGTGAGAATTGAACTCGCTCTCAAAAGCATACTTGATCAACACACTATCCACTGCCATTGACTGCTCTCTTCCTAGCTAAAATAGAAAAAAATTCTGATATCCTGCTTTTTTGGGGGGAGGGCTGTGGTTTTTCTAATAAATTTATGAAGTAATACACTCCTCTTTATCCTCATAATTGTCACCTCCCACCACAATCATCTTGCATTCATATCATACATCTCATTCATCATAATTATTTTAACAGTAACCCTCTACCTTGAGTGGCTCTTCAGCCTTGTATTGGGTGAATTTTAGTATAAAAAGACATCAGGGGTGAATCTTCACTGAAAAACACTCTTGTAGATGATCAGTATATAATTTACTAACAAGAATTGCAGTTGATTTTGTTTATATTTAACTAATTTACCAATCCTGTCATATTTTGTTAAGTCCTTCATATTATTAATACTAATTTGGTATCTGTTGATTTGCTGACATAATCAAATTTCAAATGCCACATTTATTATAAAATATATTCAGTTTAAATTGAGGAGCTGTCATAAACATGACTTTGTTTCAGTTTAAACTATTTTCCTATGGGTGGAAAAGGAAATTAGCCTTTGTGACACGTCTATTTCAATTTCCTTCAAATTGAATATGTATGCTTGTTTATGTGTGATATGTATTTTTTAACTTAATGACAAGATCTAAAATATTTCCAGAAAATATTTTAAAAAGCTTTAAAGAATAATTCTATTTATTACTGAATAATTTCCGAAAAGTTCAATAAAATCTTAGAATTAATGGATTTTTTTTTGTGAGAGGTGGGTGGTGTTAGGATTATAGTTAAGTAGTGGAGCAGATGATAAAGTTTGAGGGGTAGGGTTTTGCAGTAAGCGTGGACAGCCATTAAAACATGTGACCTTTTAATGATAGATTTATCAATTTGTACATTTATACTTCAGAAATTCTGCATGTAATCACACATACAAAAACATAGAAATTCCTTTAAAAATATTCGGGGTCATCAGATTGTAATAAGCTTTACAATATATGTTTAGTAAATATAGATTTAACTTAATGATATTTCCTAAGAATTATCATTGAAAATGAATTTTAAGATTTAAAAACTTTATAAATTATTCAATTTAAAATTGTAAAAAAAATGAAAACAAATCTTGTAAGAATTCATTTTTCATCAGACAATATTGTCTTTAATATATATTATTCATAAAAGCAATTAAAACTTCTCTAATTAAATAATGTCTTAGTTTTATTGTGTTTTTTGTTTTTTTGATTCAGAACAGATGTTTAGTAAGACTGGGTTCAATTTTGCAAAACAAATCAGTGATTTAAAGTCTTCAAAAAATTCTGCTTTTAACTAATATAGTCACTAAAAATTGATGAATTTTTCAAACTTTCATAAAATTAATTAAGGAGGAGAAACATGTAAAATAAAAAATATTTTTACCAAGATTGTCTAATAAAAAAAAATTTCAAAAATAATTTCATTTGTGAATACATCCTGAAAATTTCATTAAAATCTGACAATTTGATTTTTGCAAGAATTTTCAAATTGATGTATCTGTCACTGCAAAACAGACAAAAATTTGCTATGCTAAAAGTTAGTACAACCATTGATGCAAGAAAAACAAGTTTTTTAATCAAAATTCTGAAAGTTCTAAAAAGGAATAAAAGGAATTAATTAAATAATCAAAAAATAATTTGATGCTACCTCTTAATAATAACAATGATTTTGATGAAAAACTATGTTTTCATTACAGTATGCTGATTTTTTTTAGCATTTTTGTGGAGGTACCTATGTTTATTACTTAACAACAATAGAAAGCCGATTCCCCACTTTATGTCCAGTAGAAGCTTATATTAATACTAATTTATCATATCATCAATTATTCTGTTGTAATTCAATGCTGGGGGGTCATTTTATTATTTAACAACAATAAAAAATGGAACCCCCAACTTATGTCCACTAGTTAATGCTAGTTTATCTCAGCTGTGAAAAATGAGTTATTTTGTTAGGTCCTAAATAACATATGTTGGTTTTCACATGAGTCTTAAAATATATAATTTCCAATTATTATTTCTGTACTCTGTTCTTTTTACTTTCTGGCATGGATATGTGTGAGTGGTTCAATGGTTAGTGGCTTGGAATGAGTTAGGTTCATTTCATGTTTACTTTTACTTTAATTATAAACAAAAACTATAAAAAATGCTATTTTAACTCTTTTTAGATTATAAATTTGAAATAAAGGGAACTAAAAACAAAGACTAATTTCCTAGCGTTAATATTCTTCTTAATGGTATGATGCTCCATGAAGTATTCCATGTGCAATTGAGTTGTATCCTCTTTGCACTAAGTTGCTAGATATGCAGGTAGTGTAATGGATCATGGCTTGGCATGAGAAATTGTTGAATCAAGTTTGAATTCCAGGCAAGTTCGTCACATTCACTTATGTGCAAATATCCTTAGAAAAGGAATCAATTAATTTCCTCTCCTGCCAATTAATTCTTAACTCCATTAATTCTTTAGACAAAAATATACAACTACACTTGTATGATGTTTATTTAAATAATTCTCAGAGCTGTGTGAATGGAATTGTTGTATATTGTTTATTTATTGAAGCAGTTTAGTATGAAATAAATAACTAAATAAAATTGGTTGGAACCAAGTGTCTAGTAAGAAAGTATGGAGAAAGCCAAGTTTAAAGAGACAAGTGATTTAATAATGAAGGCAGGAGTTGTCAATCACCTGACATCAGTTCCAATCATTTACGAAAATCAAAGTAGCTTAAAAATTATTCACATTATTTACACTTGAATTGTTGTCATCTTTG